GTTTTTTTTTTTGCGTTTGTTTTGTCCTTTTTGCTGATTGTGCAGAAGGGAGGTTTTGATCTTCTGATTCGATCTGAAAATAAAACAGTTTTTTATTTTTTTTGCAGATTCCATTAAAAGAAGAGGAGTGGAAACAAGTTGCTTCAGAATTTGGCAAAAAATGGAATTTTTGGAATTGCCTGGGCGCTTTAGACGGCAAGCACATTGCTATTATTAAACCACGGAATGCTGGGTCCAGGTATTTCAACTATAAAGGTTATCATAGTGTGGTATTGATGGCGATTGTAAATGCCAATTATGAATTCCTGATGGTTGACGTTGGAACAAATGGTAGAGTATCAGATGGTGGCGTGGTTTACAATACAAAATTTTGGGAGTTGCTACAAAATAATAAGTTAAATATTCCCAAACCTTCAAAATTACCAGATACAGATGTGAGTTGCCCTTATGTATTTGTTGGAGATGATGCTTTTGCGTTGGGTACCAATTTAATGAAACCATATAATCGAGAACACGCCACGAAATCTGAACGCATTTTTAACTACCGACTCTCTAGAGCTCGAAGAGTAGTGGAGAACGCCTTTGAAATTCTTCGTACAAGATTTAGAATCTTTGAAAAACCCATATATTTATCTCCGGAAAAAGTCTCTACTGTTACGTTGGCATGTTGCTATCTACATAATTTTTTAATGCGTAAACCCTCCAAGAATTATTGCACAAATAATATTATAATAACAGAAGACTTGGCTACAGGGCTCTGTGAAGTTGGAAGTGAAAGATCACAAACGGAGCTGACACCCCTTCAAAGAGGCACGTTTAGAAAATCTCCCAAAAATGCAAAAGAAGTCAGAGATACCTACCGAAATTACTTCAACAACGAGGGCCAAATACCTTGGCAGAATAATGTTGTTTAGTAAATAGAATAGGGTTAGGAATAATGTGTAACAACAAAAAATAAAATAAAATAATAATAAAAACAAGGCAAACAATTTTTGTTTAAAAGTGATATTTTTTGTTGTCCCATAATATAAATAAAATATGCTTACCGTAATTTTTTCAGGCACAGTAGATCTGGTGTTATCTAGCTTTTCCACGTCGTTTAAAAATTGAAGTTCCCAAAATATCCATGAAGTGGGCTCATAAATGTCATCAGTGGAACTTCCTGTTCTCTGAGAATCCTTGATTTTTTCAAGCTCTTTTCGATAGTTTGTTCTCAACGAATTAATTTTCTTTTTCACATCCTCAATTGTAGCCCGTTTTTTAATTTTCTGGTATATTTCTACTAACTGTTTATAGCACTTATTTTTTTTATCTCTGTCGGAATATTCCTTCAATGACGTATTCCAAAGTATCGGATTTTGTCTATACACACTGATAAAAGTCTTTAATACTTCGCGCTCATTATGTTCGTCTGTTTTCGTATCGTCTATTGACTCTGCCGGTGAAACCGGAGATAGCGGCGACGTCTCTTCGTTCATGACCACAGAGCAACTGACACAAATATTGTCAATATGGCCCTCGAACGATCAAAATATTGTCAATTCGCCAATAAATTTTCGGGATCGTGAAAAACCTTCAATATATTGACAATATTAAAATGTGTCTCCTCGAATGGTCAATATTATTGTCAATATCGTCGTCAATATCGCAAATATTGACAATAATATTGACCGTGTGAGGCCCGCTAAGCTTAGCCTCTACCTAACTTAGTTTGTTTTTAAGGAACACCGGACACCGGTGCAAATAGCTGTTATTCATGTATTCAATGTTACAAACCCTGCTGTCGACAGACTTGGAACGACTGGCTCTTCATGGCGTCATCGCGGTCATAGATGGCGGTGCTGTCCAACGACTTCGGTTAGCTTACGCAATCGCCGGAGCAGCATAGAGGTCGCTATTTTTGCTGGCAACAGGAGTGTCGCACAGGGGTGGCAATTTCGGGCGCCACATATGTATCCCAAATCTAATAAATACATTATTATCATTAAAGCCGCTTTCCAGCTGTGTGCTTCAAGCACGGTGCAGCTCAGTGTTCTGTGTTTGAAACGCAAAAGTTAGCAGGCTTTCGAAGCGCAGTGCGGCTGGAACACGAAAACGCGCTTGAAGCATTTGCGCGCGCAAAAGCTCGATTGCGTGCTCAAAAGCGTCAGCTGGAAAGCGGCTTAAAAGAGAATAGAAAATTATGTCCGTTTTTCTATTAATTTCTTTTCAATATTTATTGAATTTCCTATTTCCATTTTTCCATTCTTTTTGTTTATTCTCTGTCCCTGAATATTTGGTTTTGTTGTAACCGCAATAATATAGCATAGCAATAATTGTATTAACATTTAATTATTCTTATATTTCTAATTTGTTTTATTGTAACCAATCTATTTTACAGAGAGGCCCGAGGGCCCGACGATGTCTTTGTCGGCTCAATATTATCATATCGACCTTCTTTTATTGTCCGACCCTTAGTCCCTTAGGTTACGTCATCGTCCACACTTGTACAAACTTTCTAAGTAATATAGTACCTAATAAATAGATTTTAGCACATTCATAAACTTTGTAAAAAGGCTAAGTTAATTTTAGGAAATTGTAAAATACCCTTCTTTAGGAAGGTCCAAAATTGTCTTCCTGGGTGGAAGATAGTTGAAGAGAAGCTATTCAGATTCCAAGCTTCACTCTGAACGGTCGGGTTGCCTCTCAACATTCTTAACTAAATGCCCCCCCCCTCAACGAGAATTTTAATAAATGAAACCTTTTTATACAATACCGAGTATTAATTATCGAAGTACGAGATTGGAGCGCACGGAAAACTCCAGGTACTCAACATTCGTGGCATCGGTCAACTCCCGATCGCCAACATCGGTGGCAGCGATTCTCAACAGTTTTTTTTGGAAATTTTTCCCGTTTAGAAAATTCGAGACTCAAGAATAAAACAGATTATGTCTATACTGCCTACTTATTCAACACTTTCTTCTCGGTTTTTAAGAAATTTCCTCTCCTCATAACTCTTAAATTTTCGTTTTCTTTTAAAGTTCTGTAGATAAAGAAGCTTCAAAAGCCGGGAATAGCAAAAGTTATGTCTACTACCTACTTGTCCATCAATTTCTTCTCAATATTTATCGAATTTCTGCTCTCCATTTTTCATTTCTTTTTGCTTTAATTTTTGTCTATTCTTTCTCTGAACAAATGTTTCAGAGTAAAAGCCTAATATACTGTTTTAATTAGAAGAAAACGCTTCACGTTTATCCACACGACCTATTTTGCCTTAATTTTAAAAACAGCAATTTGATATGCAACAGTTTTTTTTATTAAATAAAATAAATAAATATAATAGGGTGCGCTATGTACAATAATTGTGGAAATGTTTGGACTTCTCAATGATGGTATTGGTTGTATTGTGGAGCAGCTACAGCTACCAATTTCTTGTAAGCTACTGGAGCTGGAGTAGGTTCTCCTTGTTTTTCTACCACAGCGTTGAAACCGTGTCCATCGTCAGAGTATTTGACAATCCTGACAGTACCATCGGCTTCGTGGAGGGAGTATTGCCCTACAACATGATCTCCATCACGTTTTTCTTCTTGAGAGTGGAAGTCTCCAGTGTGAGGGTCTTGAACGGCGTAAGCGAATTCATAGTGAGCTGGTCCATATTCTTCTTCTTTGTATGCTGGAGCAGCTACGTATTTGGCTACAGGGGCAGCATATACTTGTTTGGCTACAACTGGACCGTGAGAGTAAGTTGGAGCAGAGTATTGGTGTACAGCTGGAGCACTGTGGTAGACTGGGACAGTTTGTTTAGCTACAGCAGGAAACTGGTAGTATGAAGGAGCAGAGTATTTGATTGGAGCAGGTGCAGATGGAACGTGTTGTACTGAGCTGTGGTCATTGTTGAATGACGAAAATGAAGTAGCTCCATGGTGGTCAATTGGGCCTGCGTTGGCAGCTGCCACGAAGGCTACGATAACGAAAAGCTGAAAAATAAAAGCATAATAGAGTATAATCTTCTTAACAATTTGAATTTTTGTATTTTACCTTATACATAATTGTATTATGTAGTTACTTAAATGAAGTTGACTTAAACAGTAAAGATATTCAGGAGTATTTGCTAATTTATAGTATAAAAATTCGGTGCTCCACGCCCCCCACAACCTTCACCTAGAAACTATTTAGATGGATATCACAGGTCAACATGTGTGGTACCTACCACCAAGAAATACTGTCATTTTGGTTCCCTCGAATTTTTGTAGGCCAATGAAATATGTATGAAGAAACTTTGCCTCAGTGAACCAATTATTAGATAATCAATTACCAATTTTTCTAATAAATGTGATTTGGAATAAGTGATGCTAGAGTCATTTTTGACGGATTTAAACCCGCTCTACGTTAAAAAATGAATGGGTAATGAGAAAACCTGAAAAAAATCAATATCTCGGTATCCATGAGATTGAGACAAAATTTAGGTTATAAGTATTACTCCATACCTATACATTACAGTTAGATCATGGCAATATTGATATAATTTTTTTAGATATGATCATAAAGACTAAGTAAATATTTGTAATAATAATAGTAAATTCCTAATCAGTTTATTAGATTTCTTTAAAAACTGTTGAAAAAAAATATGAATTTTGATTCCTATTGATTGATTAACTGTAAATAATGAAAGTGATAGATTTGCATTACATTTTTACACACACCTCTAACCGAATTATTTAATTTGCATATATGACCCGAGTGGGTAGATCACCCAAATGGATACCAAAAATTACATTAGAAAAGAAAAGTGATACATATTTACAAATATCCTTGACACTATGTATTATTTTATTTCGATAATTAATTGAAAAGGGGTCACAGACATTTTGTTACAGATACGTCTCAAATTGTGGGTTACTATATCAATTTTGAGTCTGTAGGCGTTTTAGTAGGGTGAGGTTTTGGTATAAAAGCGCGGTCAAAAAAAATGTATCGTCACTGTTGAAGTCACATTGCATTTAAACAACAACTAAACAAAAATGTACAAAGTAAGTCACTGGTTTTTTTTTAGTTTATTGTAAATTGATTTATATTTTTTCTTCTGTAGATTTTCGCTATCGTTGCCTTTCTGGCCGCTGCCAACGCAGGTCCTATTGACCACCACCATGGAGCTACTTCTTTTTCGTCATTCAACAACGACCACAGCTCAGTCCAACACGTTCCATCTGCACCAGCTCCACTCAAATACGCTGCTCCTTCTTACTACCAAGCTCCTGCTGTAGCTAAACAAACTGTTCCAGTCTACCACAGTGCTCCAGCTGTACACCAATACTCTGCTCCAACTGTACACCAATACTCTGCTCCAACTTACTCTCACGGCCCAGTTGTAGCTAAACAAGTATACGCTGCCCCTGTAACTAAATACGTAGCTGCTCCAGCTTACAAAGAAGAAGAACAAGGTCCAGCTCAATACGAGTTCGCTTACGTTATTGAAGACCCACACACTGGTGACTTCCATTCTCAGCAAGAGCACCGTGACGAACACAATGTCCAAGGACAATACTCCCTCCACGAAGCCGATGGTACCGTCAGAATTGTCAAGTACTCCGACGATGGACACGGTTTTAATGCTGTTGTAGAAAAACAAGGAGAACCTACTCCAGCTCCAGTAGCTTACAAGAATTTGGTAGCCCCACAATACAACCAATACCATCATTGAGAATTCCAAAAATTATTATGATTGTACATAGCGCACCTATTTAATTTACATAATTTATTTATTTTATTTAATAAAAAAACTGTTGCATATTAAGTTGTTGTTTTTGAAATAAGGGCAAACTAGGTCATATAGATGATTGGGAAGCATTTGCTTCTATTTAAAAAATAAGCATATTAGGCTTTTAATAAGTCTGTTTCTGCAGAAATCACAAACCAGTCAGAGTGAATTTCATTGGTTGAGACCAATGAAATTTGCTCTGACTCATGGTTTGGGATTTATGCAGAAACAGACCTATTGAAAATTAAAGCAAGAAGAAAGGAAAAAGTTAGAGCGGGAGTTTAATAAATATTGAGAAGAAATTGCTGAACAAGCAGTAGACATAACTTTTTCTATTCCCTACTTTCAATGTTGCTTTATCTAGAGAAGTTTGAAAGAGAAGGAAAGGTTAAGAGCCGGGAATTAAAAAAAAATGAGACGACAGAAATAGAAAAGGAAAATCAGTAAAAATTCAGAAGAAACACAAATCAATTTTTTTAAAACTTTGGCTCTTGAATCATATCTACTGGAGAAATTCAGAAGAGAGTAAATACATAGTCAAGAGCCGAGAATAGACAAAAAATAGTCTCAAAAAAAGAAGAGTTCTCGGAAGAGCTACATTCATATCAGGTGATTCAAAGAAGGTTTGATGAGAAAATTACTGAACCTGGGCAACCAAATAAAAATCCGAATTTTCAGAGGAGAAAGGAGCATCTTCGACAAAAGCGCGACAAGTACCATTTCCATAAACTTTAGAAGAGAGATGAATAGCTTCAAGTATCAAAAGCAGAAACATCAATAAATATTTAAAATCCAATATAGAAGGATAATGTAATAAGCAGGTAAAGGTAAATAAGCAAGTAACTGTAGACAACAAATTAATGAAGCCTCAGAAATGAGAAAAGCTTCAACTATTATGACTATAGAATCTTCAGAAATAGCCAAGAGCCCCTACCATAAGGCTTCAGAAGAGAGAAGATCTTTGAAAAGTGATAGAAACCTTTAAAAAATGCAAGAGCCAACATCAAGAGCCTCGAACCTCGAGAACTTTGATAGCCAACATTAGGCTTCATAAATTAATCCTGAGCAACAAATTGAGGGTAAAGGAAAAATCGAGGAAGGAAGTTCAATAAATATCGAGTAGAAAGTGATGGAAACGTAGTAGACATAATTCCTCTTTTCCTGGATTTTGAATTTTCCTTATCTAATGAAATTTTTAGAAGAATACCAAAATTTGAGAGCTGGGAATAGACAAAAACTGAAACGAAAAAAAAAACATGGAAAGAGACTATATCATAAACTTATGAATGACAGACAGATTGAACTAGTCTGTTAATTATCAATATCATTGGTGATTACACGTAGGAAAATTAACTTCATTGTCACACACACGTTCTCAATTTCGTACGTTAATTATTATTTTCCGTACGTTAAGTTAAGTGGATGTAAATGACCCTTTATTCTTTATCTATAGAGAAGTTTGAAAAAAATCAAAAAGAAATGCAGAAGAAACTTTTGAAGAGTATTACGTGTATTTATACAAGTAATACAACGAATAGTCCACATTTTTTGTATCCCCAGCTATTGAATTTTCTATACTAGAGAAATTTAGACACAGAATTGAGACATAAAGAAAGGACACAGAGAGAAAATTTCATTAAAATTGTGCATATAGTAAGTAGAGATAATCTTTCTATTCCTGGCTATTGAAGTTTCTTATGTGGAGAAGTATCTAATAAGAAAAAGAAAATTTAAGAGCCGGAAATTGTGACGACAAAAAGAAGACATAAAAGAGGAAATTCAATGAAAATTCCCAAGAAACTTTCGGTCAAGCAAGTAAAGTACTACAAATATGGTACCTAGTCAAAAAAATGTTTCTATCCGCGGCTCTTGAATTTCATAGACTAGAAAAATTTAGAGGAAACTTTAATACAAAACGACAAGAAACAGTTAGACAAATACTAAGGTTGGTACCTACTAGATATACATTTTTTTCTATGTCCAGCTCTTGAATTTTCTCTACTCTCTTAATACTTGATCTCATTGAAATTAAAACATTTGGGGATCGACATCTTTAAATTCTTTAGAAGCTTAGCAAAATTTGGTATCGGATTGATATATTATTTTTCAAATTGATCCAAAAAAAAAAACCTAACATCTTTACCAGATCATATGCAGTTTCAATGAGAAAATTCTATTTTTGGATTTGGAATTTCTTTCCTTTGAAATTCTGATAAAAAATTTTAAGTTTGACCAATTTCATTCCATAGATAAGTTTTAATAAGTATTTTATTTTGGAATATCAATAGAAAAGTTTATTAATTCGGTAAGAACTTATCTAATAATATAATTGGTTCACTGCCTAAAGCAAATTTCTTCATTAATATTTCATTGACCTTCAAAAATTCGAGTAATCTAAAATGAAAAGGAAATTGATTTCTTGGTGGTAGGTACCACACATGTTGACCTGTGATATCCATCTGAATAGTTTCTAGGTGAAGGTTGTAGAAGGCGTGGTGCACCAAATTTTTATAATATAAATTGGCAAATATTCCTTAATGTCTTCACTGTTCAAGTCAACTTTATTCAAGTAACTACAAAATACAATCATGTATAAGGTAAAGCACAAAAATTGAAATCTAAATTCTCTATTATACTTTTATTTTTCAGCTTTTCGTTATCGTAGCCTTTGTGGCAGCTGCCAACGCAGGTCCAATTGACCACCATGGAGCTACCTCTTTTTCGTCATTCAACAATGACCACAGCTCAGTACAACACGTTCCATCTGCACCTGCTCCAATCAAATACGCTGCTCCTTCATACTACCAGGCTAAAGAAACTATTCCAGTCTACCACAGTGCTCCAGTTGTACACCAATACTCTGCTCCAACTTACTCTCACGGTCCAGTTGTAGCTAAACAAGTATATGCTGCCCCTGTAGCTGTTGCTAAATATGTAGCAGGTCCAGCTTACAAAGAAGAAAACTATGGTCCAGCTCAGTATGAATTCGCTTACGCCGTTCAAGACCCTCACACTGGAGACTTCCATTCTCAAGAAGAAAAACGTGATGGAGATCATGTTGTAGGACAATACTCTCTACACGAAGCTGATGGTACCGTCAGAATTGTTAAATACTTTGATGAAGGACACGGTTTCAACGCTGTAGTAGAAAAGCAAGGAGAACCTACTCCAGCTCCAGTAGCTTACAAGAAAGTTGTAGCTGTAGCTGCCCCACAATACAACCAATACCATCATTGAGAAATCCAAACGTTACCACGATTGTACATAGCGCATCAACTTAATTTATATATTTATTTATTTTATTTAATAAAGAAACTGTTGCATATTAAATTGTTGTCTTTGAAATTAGGACAAAATAGGTCTTATAGATAAAATTGAAGCATTTGCTTCTAGTTAAAAAAGCATATTAGGCATTGAAGCTCAAGAAGAAAGGAAAAACGCAGAGCGGAAAATATCGAAAAGAAAGTGTTGGATAAGTACCTACCTAGTAGACATAATTTTTCTAGGTGCGGTTAATTGTTGGATAGGGTCAGAAATAAACAAAAATCAAATTTTTTTATGTCAACGTTTTGACCATACATTTGGTCATGCTTCTCAGGACACAAAAGGTAGATTTCTTCTCTCACAAGAATTAACAACACAGTGACAGGAAAAATCTAGACTGTTATGTGTCCTGAGGATGATCAAATATATGGTAGAAACGTCGACATACACCATACACAAATTTGAGATCTCTTTATTTCTGGACAAGTAGAAATCAACTGAGAGGATTCAGTAACATTAGAAACAGTAGTGGATGGGAACGGCAACACTGACACTAGACTTGTTAACCTAAATGCAAGGAGTCTCCGCCGCAAATCTCTTGAACTGGAATTTTTTCTACACTGTCAGAAATACCTACCTCGGAAATCCCGTGTATCACGGAAACTTGACTCACACACAAGGGAGGCCTCTACATTTGTATCATAAGCAACCACATCCAGAAGGAAGAGACTCTAGAGCTGGGAGTGTCGCACAGTTTGTGCACCAGAAATTCTGCAAGCAAGCACGGTCAATAAATGGTGTTCCATCTCTTGAAGGGTACTTTGAAACTGCCGCAGCAATGATTGGAACCTTCAACAACACCCGTTTGATAGCTTGCGTATTATATTACCATCCTTCCGGTAAATTTTTTTATTGTTTTTGCCAGAATTTTGAAAAATCATTAGTGTTTTTAACTAAAAATAAGCTACTGTTTTTTTATATCTGTTGATTTTAATTATGACTTCAAGTGCAAGATGAAGGAAATTACATGTATTAAGAACGTTTTCAGCTCGTATGGTCTTACACAATTTTTCTTTGAAGCGTCAAAGATCCTGGGACTGTCTTGCACTGTACTAAATATGTTTTTTCCAACGCTAATATGACCTTGTCAAGGACATTGGATCTGACTTTTTCAAATCACAGAGCACAAGTGCTGCATTTTAGTTCGGGCAAAAGCGAGTGTAATAACCTAAAGCGCAAATCTCAATGCTTCTCGCAAGAAAACATTAACTTTTTCAATTATTTGTTATCGAGAGAAAAATGGCTTATAGACCTCCATCCACTTGAACTGGAGGACAAGATTACTTACTTTTTTTCAACTTTTAATGAACTATTTCACATAGCATTTCCCCTAAGAAACAAGAGAAGCAATCACAACAGGAAAAAACTAAATTCCTGGATAACCTGAGAGTTAGTTCAGATTTGAGAAAACTTCATGTACCTACAAGTGGAAAGATCAGGCAGCCATAGGCTCCAAATGCGATACGAAACGAACTTAAAGCACATAAAAGGAATATTGCTGTGGCAAAAAATTTCTATAACTCTAACAGGATATTAACATCGGACAACATCACTAGGACCTAGGACCTCTTGGGAGAGTCATCAACTCTCATACAAATAACCCAAAGAACATTAAAAAGCCCCTACCTGAAAACGAAAACCCTGAGGTAGGGTACTGCAGTCACTAATCCGATAGGCATAGCAAATGCATCCAATGATTTTTTTGTGGAGTCTGTACAAGAGCTTATCGCCAGCACTGAAACAGGCTTGATTTTGGTCATGTATCTGCCAAACTATATTCCTTGCACCACTGATGAGTGACAAGAGGTTCTTAAAATTCTGAAATTGGTCAGCAGTAAAAAGTCATATGGGTATTCAAATCAAATCAAATTGTCGAGCCCCAGAAAAACTACCCGTCTTAATGGGCTTTCGACTGTTCGAAGTTAATAAAACAAAACACTTCCTCGATAACTTCGTTTTATTGCATCCTTCGCGAAAAACAACAACGGAACTAAATGACAATTTTACAGACCCCGAAACTTTATCCAAGAACTCAAGTTTACAAGCAAAATACATTAAATTGTTAATAATAATTATTTTTGGATAACGCTACATTCGGACGCTACAGCTAACTTGACTTGACACTGACTGACACTTCTCTACTATGGGGTCGTTCGATAACAATTAAAACGGGATCAGAAAATTAGTGAAAAAGCAACATAATCTTACTTACTAATTATTGAGTCGTTCGATAACGACCAACAAGGGAACTAACACAAATCAAAATATGCTTTATTGTATTTTGTATTAAAAGACATGGTCTCATTTACAAAGCTCAAATATAATATGCTTATACCTATATAGGTAATTAAATAAAGGAAAAATTAAATTTAAATGAAATATTCAGTCACTAAATTGCATTATAAAAAATGTCATAAAACTGTAAAATAAATAAGACAATACATCAATTAAACAAACGAACATGTAAGTACAAGAAAGGTGAAATAAAATGATAAAACAATAGTCACACCAAATACGTCTAAAAATAAAACACACAATACATAAAGGTTTACTACCTCCTTAAAATTGAAAAAGTCTGTCCAAAATACATTTTATAGAAGAAACAGTCACAACCATACCAGTCTAAAAAGTTTCGGAATAAAAATCGTTGAAAGTATAATATGCTCTGTCCTGTAAAAACAATTTAACCTTTCTCGAAAAGAATTTAATGTCCTGAATACTTCTATACACTCGAGGTAAATTATTATAAATGTTTTGGCTCTCATAAATCAGTGAATTCTTAGTAAGAGCACTTTTTGGTATTGGAAGCCGAAGATCACCTTCAGCTCTAGTACTGTAACCATTTCCATCCATGTTTTTATATTTTTTATGAATTAAGATTACAGTTTCTAATATAGAAAGACATGGCAATGTAAGTATTTTTTCACTTCTAAAATATGGTCTCTTGGTTTCACTCTACAAAGATACCTTAGAGCACGCTTCTGAAGGACAAAAACCGATTGCAGTAGTTGCCCGCTTCAAAAAAATTGATGAAATAAATACCTTGCAATCTGATTGAAAAGTGTGCTCAAAATAGTATGAATCCATTACCATATTTGATAACTATCTCTTTTGAACACGAGTACTTCCTAAAGTACCTAAAAAGCGCCGTCGTTGTCACTATCCAAAAAAAGGGGATATATATACCATCAGTGGAAAACTATAGGCCGATTGCCCTTCTGTCGGTGTTATCGAAGATTTTAGAAAAGTCATTTCGCGGAAGACTGATGAGTTTTTTGGATAAGTTCAACATCCTAACATGTCGCCAGTTTGGATTAAGAGTTGGTCGCTCAACGAACGATACCATATTTGTCCTTCTATCAAAAAATATTAGACAACTTCAACAAAAATTTGAAGTCAGTGGGTATATTTTACAATTTTACTAAGGCCTTCGACACTATAGACCACAACAAACTCTTGAATAAAATATCTCACTATGGCATATGAGGACCGGCGTACCACTGGGTTACGACTTTGTAAGTGATAGAACTCGATATGTTAAATTATTAAATGAGGGAAATTCGACATCTTAGACTGGACAAATGTTAGATTTGGTGTACCGCAGGTTAGTGTGTTGGGGCCTATCGTGTTCCTATTAAGTATTTATAAATGACTTGCCACTGTATGCGAATGGCTTCAATACAAAATGAGAAGAAATAGTTAGACAAATACTACAGTAAGTAGGTACTAGATAAACATTTTTTTTCTATGTTTGGCTCTTTTCTTTTCTCTACTCTCTTAATACTTGATCTTATGGAAATTAAAAATTTAAACATTTTTGGATCGAATATTTTCAAATTCTTTAGAAGCTTAGTAAAATTTGGTATTGGATTGACTTATCTAATAATAACTGGTTCACTGCCTGAAGCAAATTTCTTGATATACATATTTCATTGACCTTCAAAAATTCGGGTAAACTGCAATGAAAAGGAAATTGATTTCTTGGTGGTAGGTACCACACATGTTGACCTGTGATATCCATCTAAATAGTTTCTAGGTGAAGGTTGTGGCAGGCGTGGTGCACCGAATTTTTATAATATAAATTGGCAAATATTCCTAAATGTCTTTACTCTTTAAGTCAACTTCAATCAAGTAACTACAAAATACAATCATGTATAAGGTGAAACACAAAAATTGGATTCTAAATTTTTCTATTATGCTTTTATTTTTCAGCTTTTCGTTATCATAGCCTTTGTGGCAGCTGCCAACGCAGGTCCAATTGACCACCATGGAGCTATCTCTTTTTCGTCATTCAACAACGACCACAGCTCAGTACAACACGTTCCATCTGCACCTGCTCCAATCAAATACGCTGCTCCTTCATACTACCAGGCTCCTGCTGTAGCTAAACAAACTGTTCCAGTCTACCACAGTGCTCCAGCTGTACACCAATACTCTGCTCCAACTTACTCTCACACTCCAGTTGTAGCTAAACAATTATATTCTGCCCCTGTTGCTAAATACGTAGCTGCTCCAGCTTACAAAGAAGAAGAATATGGTCCAGCTCACTATGAATTCGCTTATGCCGTTCAAGACCCTCACACTGGAGATTTCCACTCTCAAGAAGAAAAACGTGATGGAGATCATGTTGTAGGACAATACTCTCTACACGAAGCTGATGGTACCGTCAGAATTGTTAAATACTTTGATGAAGGACACGGTTTCAACGCTGTAGTAGAAAAGCAAGGAGAACCTACTCCAGCTCCAGTAGCTTACAAGAAAGTTGTAGCTGTTGCTGCACCACAATACAAACAATACCATCATTAAGTTGATATGGTAATAATGCCTGTATGAATATGCCAAATGATTTATTTATTTAATTTATTTATTATGAATAAAATTTAAACTGCATCGTTTTGTTTAAGTTATATTATAATTGGTTTGACAGAATAGGAGACTAGAAGACAGAACAGTCTATGTAATTTGATTGTTTCACAAAATAAGAAATTTGGCTTATACTAACTCATATAGTTCCCCATATTTGTCATCAGGTGCACGAAACTGAAGGGTTTTATTCCTAGAAATAACAGGTAGGGACTGATTGAACGGACACATATAAATTACCAATAGAAGTCCGCAGGACGACACAAAACAAAATACACCCAGACTTGATATTGTCTTTTTCCTTCCTCAGGTAGGTACCTATAAGAAAAGGAAATCAGCATGATGGGTGATATGATTTATTAGTTTACTTTTACCATTTTCTGAAGGGCGTCCTTGTGGGTTTAATTCTAGTTTTGGATTGGTAGGTACCGAAAAAAAGAATACCTACCCTATAGCTGTTCTGTGTCGCAAGTTCTATCATCATCATCATCATTATCCCCTTTCCGTTAAGGAACTTGAACCGCCCCTAAAAGATTACTTTAGTCATTATTGTTTGCTATTGTCTTCATTTTGCAGGTAGGTAGGTACTTAAAACTTCTAACCACTCCCCCGTTGAGATAAATAGGTCTTTTCCCCGAAATTTGATGGTTTCCTTGAATATCAATCAGAACTTTATTGACTACTTTTTCAAAGTAGATTATGAGTATGAGTTTTAAAAAAAAGTACCTACCTATGTAGTTTAGAATGTTTCAATGAGCTATTATATCTCAAAGGAACAGCAATGTGCATTAATGCATGGCCAACTTGATAGAATATATTCCGCTAAAAACTTTATTTGCCTCTATCTACAAAAAGTTGTTTGTATTCTTGACTTCAAAATAAGAGAAAAAATTATTAGTTTTGCTTACCTACCTTGCTTAGAGCAAGGTATCTTTAAACTTCTATGATCGCTTCGTGATTCCATGTTATTATCTGTTTAAATATGCTGATTTCTGATATGTAGTCGTTCTTTGTTTTCTGAATCAAGATTTTCATTTTCCTCCTGATCAAATTCTTGAGCTCTTTAGTAAACCTTGGATTCTAATATAAATATAATTTAGTTAGTGCCTAGTGGTTCTTTTATAATAATTCAAAGGTGAGGTCGTTTTTATTTGGACAAGAGTTTCCTAGAAAAAAAAATATATTAACAAATCTCGATGTTCAATAAGGAAGGAATGCAAACAATCAAAAAGCGAAAAAATTACCTTTTATCAATTATCATACACAATAAATTCCAATCAAATATCCACGCAAAGGCACCATTTTACAAATAACGACAAAATAGTTTTTCTTCGAATCTTGCATAAGACCGAAACCATAATTCAACCTCCAAACAATATACCAGATTATTAGGTCATTATCTATCGCATTTAAATGACTCGGTCAAATTTATCTGTGACGAATTTGATGTTTTTTGCCCGAAAAAACTCAACATTTTTAGAGGTCTAGGTAAGCAATTGACGAATATAAATAGGTTCGGTAGAATTGGATTTACCAGAACAACATCGACGTTTGTATTGTTTTATTTTGTTTGTATATTGCAAATTATTTGATAATGATTTCCAAAGTAAGTGACTTTTGATTTTAGTTTCAAAATTATCAACATTTAAGTAGTTTATAAATTAATTCATCAAAATTCTTATTCAGGTTTTAGCATTTTCCGCCCTCGTAGCTGCTTGCCAAGCAGGAATCGTAGGAGTATATCCAGCAACATCCTACCATAACGACTACGAAAATTACCAAGCCCCAATCTATGGGCACGGTTATGGAGAAGGCCATCATGGATACGAAGTAGATCATCATGTAAGCCTTTTATCCACAAAATAAAAACTCCTTTAAGTATATAGTCATTTTAGGCTCATCCAAACTACAAATTCTCTTATGGAGTTAACGACCCTCACACAGGCGACCACAAATCTCAAGAAGAATACCGCGACGGCGATGTAGTCAAAGGGCATTACACTGTAGCTGATCCTGATGGTACCCTAAGAGTAGTCCACTACACTGCTGACGATGTTAATGGATTTAATGCCGTTGTGGAGAAACATGGACATTCAGTGCATCCAGAACCGATTCATGAGGCTCCAGTTGTAGTTGAAAAAGTGGTACCAGTAGTTGAAAAGGTTGTTTATGAGAAGCCAGCCTATTATGGACATCATGATAATAATGGATATTATGGACATCATAGTAATGATGGTTATTATGGACATCATGGTAATGGATATTATGGACATGGATATTGATATTGAGCCAGATCTATGAAAATGGATTTTATTGTTATTTATTTTGCCTAATACATATATTTTTGAATGGATTTTTTTTTTATCAGTACCTACCTATTTATTTTCGACTCTCGAAATTTTATTTTTTCTCATATTTCCTTCAATAATGAATATTCCAAAAAGAGGAATAGAAGAATAATTATGTCTACTAGGAAAAACTGCCTATTTATTTCAATAGTTTTAGGTAGGTATACTTACCTGCAAAATGAAGACAATAGTCAATTTTAAGGGCGATGATCCACCAACCAGAGTTAGGGGTGTGAATTTTTAATTTTTTTAAAAATCTTATCGAAGTGACTAAGCTGAAAATAATTTAAAAAGACAAGATTGAAAATAGTTTCTTTCAACAGGCATCCAACAACACCAATTCGGCACTAATATAACAATAAGACTTGTGACAGAGAACAAATATAGGGTACTTATTCTTTTTTTTCAGTACCTACCAATCTAAAACCAACCTAATGCATTCGCATGGAGTGCGTTCGAAATCCATGGTGGTTTCGGTTCGAATCGAGAGTTCGTAATCCGCCCCCAGAATTATACCTACAAGGACGCCGTTCAGTAAAAATAAATTAATAAATCATATCATCCAGGGTGGTTTCTTTTTCTCTTACCTGGGAAACAAAAGCACAATATGAAATTTGGGTGTATTCTGTAACGTCCTGCGGATTCCTATTGGTTATTTATGTGTGTCCGTTCAATCATTCTCTAAATACCTGCAATTTCGAAGAATAAAAATATCCCATAATCCCGTGTACCTACTTGACAAATATATAGGGGTTGATGGATGGGTACTTGTTCTCTAAGGTACCTACTGAGAAACAGTACTATAGCTTACTATTTTTACTATAAAACTTAGAAACTATAGTTTTATATAGTACTAACAAAGAAAATTTGATTTTGTTTTGTGTGATGTAGACACTAAACTTATTGCTATACGGCTACGGCAGAAAGATAAATTAAGGTTGGTACTAAATCAGAAATCCACCAATCAAACTGATAATCAAATTACCCAGACCGTTCTGTTTTCTATTCTGTCAAACTAATTATACCTATAATTTTGAAATATTAGTCCATATCTCACCGTGAGGAAAATAGTTAATGGACTGGAGCACACATAGTCCACTCTCTATTTAAAAAAAAAAAATTGGTTAAAAGGGAGGTTGTTGAACATGTGTCGGATTTATTATAGATCCATTATCAACATTTCTACAAGTACCTACAAAAATTATGGGAGTTTTGTACTTGTATAATAGATCCGAAATATGTTCAACGACCACCCTTTTCCCTTATATTATAAAATAAAGAGTGTATGTTTTACCCCAGTTCATTCAATAAATATTATATGACCTAAACAAAATGATGCAGTTTAACTTTTATTCATAATAAATAAATTAAATAAATAAATAATTTGGCATATTCACACAGGCATTACACATCAACTTAATGGTAATATTGGTTATATTGTGGAGCAGCAACAGCTACAACTTTCTTGTAAGCTACTGGTGCTGGAGTAGGTTCTCCTTGTTTTTCTACTACAGCATTAAAACCTTGTCCATCATCAGAGTACTTGACAATTCTGACGGTACCATCGGCTTCGTGCAGAGAGTATTGTCCTACAACATGATCTCCATCACGTTTTTCTTCTTGAGAGTGGAAGTCTCCAGTGTGAGGGTCTTGAACTGAGTAAGCGAATTCATAGTGAGCTGGACCATATTCTTCTTCCTTGTAAGCTGGAGCAGCTACGTATTTAGCTACAGGGGCAGCATATACTTGTTTAGCTACAACTGGACTGTGAGAGTAAGTTGGAGCAGAGTATTGGTGTACAGCTGGAGCACTGTGGTAGATTGGAACAGTTTCTTTAGCAGGAGCCTGGTAGTATGAAGGAGCAGCGTATTTGATTGGAGCAGGTGCAGATGGAACGTGTTGTACTGAGCTGTGGTCGTTGTTGAATGACGAAAAAGAGGTAGCTCCATGGTGGTCAATTGGACCAGCGTTGGCAGCTGCCACAAAGGCTACGATAACGAATAGCTGAAAAATAAAAGAAAAATTGAAAAATTTGTAGATTAGAAATCAATTTTTGTGCTTTACCTTATACATGATTGTATTTTGTAGTTACTTAAATCAAGTTGACTTAAACAGTGAAGATATTTTGGAATATTTGCCAATATATAGTATAAAGATTCGGTGCACCACACCCCATAGAACCTTCACCTAGAAATTATTTGAATAAGATATCACAGGTCAAGTCAACATGTGTGGTACCTACCACCAAGAAATAACTGTCCTTTTCATTTTGGTTTGCTCGAACTTTTGAAGGTCAGTGAAATATGTATGAAGAAATTTGCTTTAGGTAGTGAACCAATTATTTATTAGATACCTAGGTACCTAATTATATCAGAATTCCGAAATTGTGATTTGGAGAAGATGTTAAATTCTTTTCTGATTGATTTGGACTGGTCTATCTATTGGAAAAGTGAAAAATAAAAATGTTGCCTTTTTTGAACTTTTCTATTTAACATTTTTAATTTGAAGCTCGGTATCTATAGGGAAGACTGTTGTACCGAGATCAGTGGTTGTACCTAGGAACGATTTATTGAACATTTCAATTTAACTGATGATGGATAAAATTATGATTGATGAAATTTGATGAGATATTCATTCAGGTACATACAAGGTTCCGTATTTCTGTTAATTGAAAAGCAGTTCCAGTGATAATATTTTATTTAGACAGCTAAATACGCATACTTTTTCCAAGGTCTATTTGAATTCAAGATATTTTGGAAGATCTTTGAAGAATTGTTCGAAAGTTTTGTCTCGCACGACTTGTATCTGACCTGTGTGCATAGATCCGTGAGATCTCTGTATTTATTTGCTGGGAGTTTTATCTGTGACCACTGTTTGATTTGGGAATAGGCTTTGGTATAAATTTTCGGAGCACATCAGGTGGTAGTCTTTGTAGTGGCAGTTCAGCACCATGGTGACTTTTTCAATACAGTGACGTCATCTCTGTTTACCATTACTTCCTTAATTTTGGTCCAGTCGTTATTTTCACCAGAATCCAGTTTTCTGGTTACGCAAAGGCGGATTTTTTCAGCCAACGATTTATAATCAAGAAATTTTTCGGTGGTCATTTCAAAAACCGTGTATGGCAAATTTCTTCTGGCGAGTCTAAAGATAGGGGGTAACGGGTAACTGTGCTGGTATATAAATGGCGGACCGAATTGCTGTTGCAATAGTACTGTGAGCGGAATCCCCTTCATTTTGCTCATGATTTGTTTCGAAAAAGGACAATACAATTTCACGTATGTTTTTTGAATTTGCGACAGCTTGTAGTAGTAACATGGTAGAAACGATTGTGTTTTGGTTCTGGCCACCACAACCATCTTACTTCTTTTATTTCTTAGCTGTCTAGTCTCTATATAGTTGTTGTAAATATCTGCCAAAGCATGTAGAAATTTCATACTTATTGACTATTCACAATCTGTAGTCCAAAGGTACAGGTAAAAGTTATCACCTTTCAATGCTAATTGAAAGGGGAAAGGTGATAAATTTACCCGTACCTTTGGACTACAGATTGTGAATAGGATATATATACATATAACTTCCGACTACGTGAAGCAGTAGCGTTCTTTATTGCCTATATTGTAAATATAGTGAAGTTAAATAGGTACTTATTCCGACAAACGACGACGATAATACAATGCATTTTCTTTACTTATAGGTAACTGAATAACTTGTTGCATGTCAAAAACAGCAGCAGCTATTAAATCTTAAATCTGGGTTGTTTTTGGACATTTCCTTAGCATCCTCCTTCTACATAGCACAGTGTTTTTCTCGGCGACATGTGCGTGCAGTGAATGCATCTTGAAGCTGTTTTTTTTTTTATTTGCATCACTTTCCCTGTACGACAAACAAAGACTGCATTGGTCCTTTCTGGAACGGTAGAAGGACAGATTCAGTGATTTAAATACTCTACGATAAGTATGGTAGCTGCATTTTGGTTACTCCAGACTCTCTTCTTGGTATAAGTTAAACATTCTCTTCACGTTTAAGTCGGGATGTAAATATTCTTTTGAAGTCGATTCTCTAGAAAAGTGCGACTCCATTTTTGGGAACTTTTGTATGTGACCGAGAGCTGAGTCTCTCATAACTCCGTCTTTTTTGTTTCAAATTTGCATAACGCAACGCCCTACACGTTTATCGAAAAAAACTATGCCTTACACTCATTGCCGTCCGAACTGCTTTTTCGGAAACAGCCAGTGTGTTCTGAAACGTAATTTTACAAAATGGTAATGATTCTCTGCCTTTTGATAAGCAATAAGCCAAAATCTGTGTTCTTCTGGACTCTGTTGCAGCAGTTCTTCTCCTTTTAACATCATTCTCATTGATATGGCGTACAATGAACTAGGTACTTCTGTAATTGGAAACATATTTGTTGGCGTTCTTTCCAGTAAAAAACTTATAGCTTACAGCCCTCATTTCTACATTTTTGAGAATCACATCGCGGCTTCATGATTCTTTGCAGAAATTGCTTTTTCAAAAAGGAACTCACATCTTTTCCTTCTATTCTTAGGGTGCGTGCCATCTTTCTCATGTTGTTTTTGTTTATAACTACTGATAACTTACCTATATACAAAGATAGGTACCACTGCAATAAAAGTCACACTCAAACTGTCAATATCTTCACCTTCAACAGAAAAATGTAGAAAAACTTGTAAGGTAAATACCACAGATAGCGACTCAAATGATTATGAATGAATTTATGCTACATGGTTGCCGGTACGAAATTATAGCTCATCGGGGGCACATCAGCCAAATATTATTGGTTTAAAATCCGACAAAAAGGCGTAAATCCGTTTTCGAGATATACGCCTCTTAGTAAGATCCTGCGGAGTGACTTTAATGTTGCTTCCGCCCATACCAACCACGTTCTAACTGGGAAAATGATACAGATACGCCCGTTGGTCAGATCATACATATACTCCATGTAGATATCCTGAACTAATCTGTATTTTGGATATATTGTCACTTACACTGGTCAGAAAACCGACGATATAGTATCGGAATAATTTGGCATCCTCATCCTGAATATAGGGTTTACTATGATTCATGAGTGAGAAACTACTATATTGCTTGTTTAGTAGCAAGTTTCATGGCGTTTTCCAATTATTTTCACTATAAAACTACGAAACTAATTTTGTAGTAACAACGTTGAAGAATACATTAATACCTACCTATTCAAAGAGAATTTGATTTTCTTCTGTACACTAATTGGCTAAGGCTACGGCAGAAGGATAAATTAAGGTTAATAATACATTAGAGATCCAGCAACCCAGGACCCAGGACGGATGAGCGGGATTAGTATCCCAGACATCTAAGAGACATTCCTAAAATGTTCACAAACGACATTCAAACGTCTTTTAGACGTCTTCTTATGTCTTCAGTTCAAGGTATCTTAAAGACCTCGTATGTAACAAAACCAAACGTCTTTCAGACGTGCGTCTAAATACGTCTCTAGCTCCTGAAACATCTGATTTGGATTTGAACTGTTTTGGATGTTTATCAAAGGTTTAGGTTCTATAGCAATTCAAATTCGCTCTTGATGGACGCCTTCTGAAAGGCGTTTTGCATCTTTTAACCTGAACCAAAATGTTTCTGAAGATTCTAGAGTGTTGTTAAGCGTCCTAAAATGGGTTTCAAACTTCTGAATTGTTCCAAAAGGATGCTTTTGGAAATTGTAAGTCGGGTTTTGGATGGGTTTTTGGAGCATTCCATAATGCTTTTGAAGTTTCCAAAATGTTATTATTGTTCTAAAGTGTTCTGTAGTATTTTAAATGGATTCAAGAAACGAATTCTGATGTGGAAAATTTTTGTAGACATCTTGAAGATGTCTCTAAGATGTCCACAAACGGCTTCAAGACATCTTGCTTATGTCTTTACGTTACAAAATCCGACGTCTGCTTAAAACGTCTTTAGGGCTAAGACATTCTAAAGACGTCTTTGAATCTCTTTTCAATACATTAACCATTATTCACTTTTAGGCTCGGTTTGTACCAAATAGTGTGACTTGACTTAGTTGTATTTGGGATGTGAATTTACTACATCTCATGGTCGTCCTCTAGATATTTTATTTCATTGTTCTTCAGACGTTCAGACGTAATGCATACTTAAAAAGACGTCTTTAAAACTTTGTGTGCTGTGTGCTGTCTGGGCATACCTTTATTACCTATAACTTACCTACATTATTTCCCGTCTCGTTTTGGTACTCAAATCTTACCGCTTTTCACAGATTGCGTTTTTATCAGTTAGATATTGCATACCTGACACCTTATCAGAAGGTGAATAAACTGGCCCTTAATGAAATAATCAAATTACCTATGGTTGAACCAAATCCAAGAGGCAGTAAATGACAAACTGGTCATTTTCATTACAACCTATCAAATGTCCTCCGTGCATGTGCACTGGTCCAGGTAGGGCGATTCAACCAATAGGCTGGTGTTTGTTTATAATTTAGGATATTTAGGCCCGGTTTATTCATTTTCAAATAAACTTGCCGGTAACTATCTGCAAGATAAATTTACCGTTCTATAATTCTATTGGTCGGCAGATAACTGGCCGACCAATGGGATCGCAGATTGCGTTTTTATCCGTCAGATTGCATACCTGACAGTTTATCAGAAGGTGAATAAATCGGCCCTTAATGTCATTTATTGCCGCTTGGATTTGGAAATGGTGCGTAGACTGTTCTGTTTTCTATTATGTCAGACCAATTATGACTTAAACAAAATGATGCAGTTTAAATTTTATTCACAATAAATAAATTAAATAAATAAATCATTTGGTATATTCACACAGGCATTGGGTACAGTTGTATCTTAGTGGTGGTATTGGTTGTATTGTGGGGCAGCAACAGCTACAGCTTTCTTGTAAGCTACAGGAGCTGGAGTAGGTTCTCCTTGTTTTTCTACTACAGCATTGAAACCGTGTCCATCGTCAGAGTATTTGACAATTCTGACGGTACCATCGGCTTCATGGAGGGAGTATTGCCCTACAACATGATCTCCATCACGTTTTTCTTCTTGAGAGTGGAAGTCTCCAGTGTGAGGATCTTGAACAGCATAAGCGAATTCATAATGAGCTGGACCATATTCTTCTTCTTTGTAAGCTGGAGCAGCTACATATTTAGCTACAGGGGCAGCATATACTTGTTTAGCTACAACTGGACTGTGAGAGTAAGTTGGAGCAGAGTATTGGTGTACAGCTGGAGCACTGTGGTAGACTGGAACAGTTTCTTTGGCTACAGCAGGAGCCTGGTAGTATGAAGGAGCAGAGTATTTAATTGGAGCAGGTGCAGATGGAACGTGTTGTACTGAGCTGTGGTCGTTGTTGAATGACGAAAAAGAGGTAGCTCCATGGTGGTCAATTGGGCCTGCGGTGGCAGCTGCCAAAAAGGCTACGGTAACGAAAAGCTGAAAATTAAAAGCATAATATGTAAAGTATAAGCTTCCTGAAAGATTTGTTATTTATAATTCAATTTTTACCTTGTACATGATTGTATTTTGTAGGTTGTTACTTAGATCAAGTTGACTTAAACAGTGAAGATATTTTCGAATATTTGCCAATATATAGTATAAAAATTTGGTGCACCACACCCCCTGTAACCTTCACCTAGAAACTATTTGGATAAGATATCGCAGGTCAACATGTGTGGTATCTACCATTAAAAAATAACTGTCCTTTTCATTTTGGTTTTGAAGGTCAATGAAATATGTAATGAAGAAATTTGCTTTAGGCAGTGAACCAATTATTTATTAGATAAGTACCTAGGTACCTAATTAACAAATTTTTCCAATGATATTAATGTCAGAATTCCGAAATTGTGATTTGGAGAAGATGTTAGATTCTTTTTTGGTGATTGGTTTGGAATAAGGCTCTACGATTGGAAAAGTAAAAAAGAAAAATGTATCAAATTGAATTGAACTTGTAGTACCTAGTACCTACTTGTCCAACAATTTCTTCTCAATTTTTATTGGATTTGCCCCAATTTTTATCTATTCCCGGTTGTTCTCAATTTGTATGGTATTATCTTTTTTTTTTTTCTTCGTCTCAATTTTTATAAGTAGGTAGGCAGGTGTCTAACTGCTAAAACTACACCAGAATATTACCAAAAGTACTTTCACTATCATCATATTTCTCGGTACCTACTAAAAATAGACTATAATATAAGGTAATTGACCGCCAAGATTTTAATTGATTAATATTGCCTACAGATGATTAGTTTTGATCTGGATTACGGCCTTCACACTACAAACCTAATTAATTATATCGTATCAGTTATCTAATTAATCAATAATTTGTTTGTGCTAGGTATTAGAAACAAATTGACCGTTTGATGATTTGTTTATTGATTCGATTTCTTTATCATAGACATTTTTGTGTAATCTATATGCACATTTACCACATTCTCCTATTTCCTTTGCACCAAAATATGGTAAATGTTAAAAACCTTTCATTAAAATTAATATTTAACTTTATAGGTTTTAATGCAAATTTTTTTGCACTGCCTATATTTGGCTAATTAATTTTGAATAATATGGAAATATTTCCACTTTTCTCAGGCCTAATTATTCGGTTTTTGAAAAGTTCGAAATTTGTATAAATAGTGGCTGGAAGTGCCCAATTTGTATCAGTTTGATTTTAACTTTTCTACTGCTTACCTAGTCAAATATGTTTATTAAAGTAAGTGCCTTCAAAAAAAACCTCACCAATTTTTCATTGAATTTTCTTTTATTAGGTTTTAGTATTTGTTTCATTGGTTGCCTTTGCAAGTGCAGGCATTTCTCATGTCTCTATGAGTCAAGGTGGTGGAGGAGGAGGACATCATGGACACCACATTATTGAATTTTATGTAAGTAATTATCAAATACCTAATTAATATCATCTCATCAAATAATATAATTTTAGACTTTTCCTCATTATGAATACAAATACTCTGTCCATGATCCTCACCATCACGATATCCATGAGCAACACGAAAAACGCTATGGAGATAAAGTAACTGGAGAATATTCCCTTCATGAACCTGATGGTACCATTAGGGTGGTAAAATACGAGGCTGATCATAAAAATGGGTTCAATGCTCATGTTGAAAGAAAAGGACACGCTGTCCATCCTCATATTGAGCATCATCATCATCATCATGATGATTAGGGTAAGTATAAGATTAGAACCCCTAAAATAAGCTATAGAAATTTTTGTTTCAGGAAATATTTTCCGTTGACTCTGCTCATCTAGTACCTGATCATCCCATTATTGAATGTCTGTATAGTAGGTAATTTCTTTTCATTTCTAGTTGTTCATCATCCCCCATTTTAGTATAAGTTTTAGTTCAATTTTGTTATTGTTTGTTAAAAAATAAATGCAAATGTGATTGAATTACATAAGAAAATGACTTTGATTTTTCCAAAAAATTTGATGAAACAATAAACTTTTTAATAAGATTTTTATGAACTCTGTTCTTAAATATTAGAAAGTTTATCGAGAAAATTGATTTGAAATGAACATGGTGTAGAAATTCACCAAAAGATTAGAGGTTCCTGTTTAGAGCCAGCTGCACAGATATTTTTCGGTGGATTTTGGAGGAAACAAAAATTCTCAATATATAATTTGAATTTTGAGTAGGTAGGTAACAATTTATATATCAGTCCCTTGAGATTCTTGATTAGTATTATAACCTGACTGTTTTAGGATTCAAATTCTCAAAAGTCTCAAGGATATAAAAGCAAGTTCTTATTTTATACATGAATTATAATCAACAATTTCATTATTAAACAAAAATGCAGGCCAACACCATATAGATTGAAATCAACACCCCATTTATCTCAAAACCCAATAAAACATGTGCCAGACTGAAAAATGTATTGGTCGACAATTCGTTACCCAATCTATAGGTATTTTTACTGAAAGAAAATAACCTGAATATAAGTAATTATTTATATTTGGTACCTGGTTAGCTATTTTTTATTTAAATGAAAACTTCTTTGTCGCTCTAAAGCAATTAAACAGAGACACAATGAAATCGTTTTGGACGAGTTTAGGCCTAATTTTTCTTATTTAAAGCAGGATTTGGTTGGTATATAAGGACAGCAATTTTCTACTCTACTTTATAGTAAAGTCTTCGGTAAAGTGCCATATTATAGTACTAGAGATAATAATGATGCTAAAAGTAAGTGAAAATTTAATATTTTATGCAAAAAGATTTCCATCTTCTTATATTTTTGCATATAAATTACCCAGACAGCACAAAGATATCTTTAAGACCTAAGATGTCCACAAACGACATTCATGACGTCTTTTTTAGACGTTTGCTTACGTCTTGAAGACATCGTATGTTACCAAACCCAACAGATTTCAGACTTTTGCCTAAAGACGTCTTTAGGACTTGGCTTATTGAAGTTCTAAAAGTGTTCTAACTTGGCTTGAAGGTTCTGGAGCATTCTAAAAATTTGTCAGTACTAGTACCTAATTTCTAATTTCTAAATTGTTATGACAGATTTTTAAGTATTTTAGAGCCTTATTGAAAATGCGTTTTGTAACTTTTAACCTGAATCCGAAGATTCTGATGCTTTACAAAATGTTTCTGGAGATTCTAGAGTGTTTGAATGTTTTGGACCGTCCCAAAATGGGTTTCAAAGTTCTGAATTGTTCTAAAATGCTTTTGGAAATTGTAAATCGGTTTTTGAATGTTTTGGGGCATTGTAAAGTAGTTCTGAAGTTTCCAAAATGTTCTGAAACGCAACAGAATGCTTTTGGAACTTTTGAAATAAAGTTCAAGTATTTTGAGCTTTCCAAAAGGCTTATTAAAATTCTGAAGTGTTCTGTAGCATTCTAAATGGATTCCAGTAACTTCTAAATTCAATTCTGTGAGAAATTTTTGTAGACATGTTAAAGAAGTCCCTAAAATGTCCACAAAAGGCATTCCGGCTTTCCAAAGCTAAAATTGTAATCCTTAAAGTTTCAAAAGGGAAAGAACAAATCTACGCTATTCAATTATTGTTTTTATAGGTTTTTGCAGTATTCACTCTGGCATTTGTCACAACTCACTCAATACCAATCCTAAGTGATGGCCTTGGACTAGGACTTTCTGGCCTCTCTTTAGGCCATGGACCTTTACTCACCCTAGGCCACACACCAGTTGTAGCTCATAAAACTATAGATTATCATGTAAGTAATTTTTCCAGTGAAAAATGGCTACAAATTCAAATTTATTTTAGGCTCCTCCAAAATACGATTTCGAGTATGGCGTTTCTGACCATCACACTGGCGACAATAAAGAACAGAAAGAAGTGCGTCACGGTGACGTCGTGCAAGGAGAGTACTCCCTAAAGGAACCCGATGGTACCATTAGAATTGTGAAATATACTGCTGACGATCACAATGGTTTCAATGCTGTCGTTATAAGGAAAGGACATGCTGTGCATCCCAGTGTTATCCATCATCAGGCTTTGAGTAAGGATTTGTTTAGTTGAAAAAAAAATGACGTATATTATCACACTATCCCTTTTGTTTCTCATTTACTGAGTAATGAAATAACCAGTTGGCAAAGTTCCCAAAAAATAATTCCGTCAATTTCAAATCCAATTTATTGTCTGAGTGTTAATATTTGATTCAGATAGATGAAAGATTCTTACTAAAATAATCTTGTTCCAACAGAGTCAAAGAAACTTTTGTAAAGATCATTCAAAATTGGTCAAAAGTTACATCTGAATCCAAGAAAACCTAGAAGATCAAAGCAGGGAGCTGGAGAAACTTTCTGGGTTGTTAAAATTTCTCATATTCACCTTGATCCAACTAAAGTTCGCCTTACGAGTCTAGTACTATGGAAAGAATGCGGATAAAAAAATTGCAATATTGCAGATTTGACTTCCAATAGAAAATACCTTAATATTTATCTATGTTACACACCTACATTTATAGTAAGGAAAAAGTAATATTTAAAAACGCTGCGCGCACGCCTATGGCAGGCAGCATAAACCTCGAAATGAATGGCGTTATTCCCCCTTGCCCTTCAGACGTCGTAGTGCTAGACTCGTAAGGCGAACTATAGAACTCTAAAATCTACTACTTAAGCCAGAAGTTGATATGATCGTCAAAGAGGGATTTCAGATTTTAATGTTCATTTTATTCCTTGAAAAATCATAAAATTTCTTCGAAATCTCCTCTGATCCATCACAGGATGGCTACAAAACTTTCAAAATCCATAAATTGAGGATTTTTTCAAAATTAGGTCTGTGATAATGGACAAAATGTAGTTTTGAACCAATATAGAAGACAATCAATCTGCGAAACACCAAGTTAATTCTAATAAAGATACTGGATTTGAAATTGTAATTTGCTAAAAAAATTTGGAAAATGTAATGAGTGGGAAACTTTCCAGATTTTCTAAATTTAACATCAGAAAGTCCCATGAGTACCTAACTGGAATTCTGAACCTTTCAAGGAAGCCTTTGTAGAATTCAGAAACCACTAGAAAATGTCTAAAAATCCAAGAAATTTTTAGGATTTATCTGGGTGACTAAAATCAACTCCAAAAAAGACCAATAGAGATTTGATATGTGGTAATATGTCATTGATACATAAGAACTATTTTATTGGAATTTTTTATTTATATGAGAAAATCAAAACAGTATAATAGATATTTCATTGATTTTTCTAGGTATTGGACACCTTTTGCATTAAAATCGAACAAGGGAATATGGAATCCACCTAGAAAATGCTGTGTTCTTTGGTTAATGATCATCAAATTTACCATTTTAATTCTAGTTTAAGGCTTTAAGACAGAGTTGCTCATCATTATGTATAGAAATATATCATAATCAATAGAATAAGGTTTTGTAATGTATATGTGTATTTGATTTATTCTGAAATAAATAAATTATAATGAATTCCTTGTTAAAAACTGTAATGTTTCTCCAAATGACCACAATGACTGTGATTTAACTCCTTCAAACCCAGACTAATTACTACACGTTCTTCTGGGTTTATATAGAAAAGTTATGTGTATTTAAAAATATTAATGTTGTATTAGATATGAAAACTTTTTCAGTACCACGAAATATAATGTTTGCAGTCTTAAGTTCGAAATCTGAATGCCTCTTTTCAATCTTCTTCCACAGCAAGAAGGCAGCAAAAGATCCTACCTAAATCCAAAGAGTGTTTCTCACCCAATTCTTTTAAAGGAACCTAATGTGACACATTTGTTTATTACAGTGTTAGGTATTTTCGAAAGTTTGCACAATCATAAACTTAACACCTATTTGGGCATTTACAACAAACATTTGACTTTACCGTCAACGTAACAATCTATACTAATAAAAGAACGGTCATCAACTATAAACGTACAGGCCAAACTGCTTGACCTACAGTTATGAAACTTGGAGGACGTATTGGGTTTATGACGTAGGCTCTCGCTAGGAAAGGATTTTTGAAAATATCACCCCCAAGGGTGTTAAAATAGGGGTTGAAATATTAAAGAGGATTTCTCTATCTCGGAGACGAAAAGCCGCAAAGATCTGAAAATTGGCATATAGATTCTAGCAACAAAATAAGTGAACACGTATTCACGTATTTCAGGGCTTTTTGAAATTTTAACTGGGGGCACACTTTTTATGTCATGAAACAAATTGACGCTTCTGTCTAAAATACCACCCCCTATGATAGGCCCACTCAAATTATTATTAGGGACACATTTCTTCTCGAAAACAGGGTCAGGCTTAATTTGGTATAAAATATGTAGGTATGTACTCGATTTTAACCTATTTTAACAGCTGGACGCCTAGAGTCAATCAAATTCAATTCGAAATACTATCACTTTTCTGTTGATATAATTTTTTTTGTGATCATGCTGCAATCAGACACCTACTTGCAAAAACTGTTTCGTGTTCATTAAATTTGATTTAATGTCAATTAAAATAAGTGTTCGAGTTCATATATTGATTCTTATCCTTACATAATATTTTATACGTAGGTACTTACCTATAGTTAGCAAACATAGAATTTAAAATTGACTAACTTTAAAAACACAGCTCTGGTTTTGGAACAACTATAACAGCCAGAAGCAAAGTTAAAATAAAGTGGTTTTTAAAATTTAAATAAGAAATATTTATTTAGAATATTCAGAAATTTGCGATTTGAGTTTTCTAATTTTAACAACAACAATAGTAGGGGAGACCGGGGCTAAAAGTCACAAAATTTGGTTGTGAATTTTTTGTGAAGTCATATTCAATCCTATCAAAGTTACTTCTGGTGCAGTTTGTCACACTGTCATTTGTCTGTACAGAGACACTATAAATTTATGCATAAATAACGTTAATTTAAATATTTTTTTGCTAAACACAAATTGTTGCAAGTGTGACATCTTGCCCTCATCATGGGGCACGTTGTCTCACGGAAAGGGGTAAAAAGTCACACAAATATTTGGTTAGCTTTTATTTGAAAAAATGCAAAAATGCAGGTAAGAAAGAGAAATAATGTATAATATACGCTTTATTTCAATTTTCTCAATCGATGCCGTCATCGTCTTCGCAGTTCTGACACACGTACCACGGTGTACCGAGACTGTTCATGGGCCCATAACTTGCAGACTGTACATTGAGCCCAAACTTCTTTTGATGAACTATTGGAAAATGATTCAAAGCAAACAATACGAAAAGTTTCTTCATCATCTTGCTCTGATTGTTCAGAGGACTCCATTTTAGCACTTTTTTTGTTTTTTCCATTTTTATTTTTATTATTCGACCCTCTTATATTTCCTGTTAAGTTTAAGTTCTTCTTTACACTTTTTCTCTTTGCGTAACATCGCTTCCTTATCAAAACTGCCTCGATCTGTTTTATTCCTGTAATCGCGCACCATCTAAAAATTAAATTCCGTTTAGAGCTATATTTATTTCAATATCGGGGTAAAAAGTCACATATAAGACAACTTGCCCCACAACGTGTGAGACAAGTTACCCCAAAGGGTCCTGTTATTTTCTTTTTAAAATATGTACCTAATCTAACTGTATAATTTATTGAAGTTATGGTAACTTTTTAGAGATTAAGTAGGGGTATCATAAATATAATACGGCATTTTTGAAATTTAGCACTGAGATAAAATATACGGTTTGTATTATTAGTCCAAAAAATTACTTACATTGGCTTTTTTCACAAATTCACTCGTAAAAAGATACACATGCGACTAGCACCAACGGCAATGATAGAGAACTGACAAGCATTCGACAGCGCTCCTGGCGTATGAATATGGCGACGATGCCATATTTACTGTGCGAGAAAAAGATTTTGTGACTTTTAACCCGTGAGACTTTAAGCCCCGGTCTCCCCTATATTACATACCGAGGTGGAAAGTGTTTCATTACTGTCGAGAGATTAGTTAGTTAACTGAGACGCGAAGCGTCGAAGTTAACTATAATCTCGAGACAGGAATGAAACTTCCTACCGAGGTTTGTATACTATTTTATTTACAACAATTACAACCCTCATAATTTCGACTAAATACTAAAAAAAATTTTAAAAATTTGTTGACAAGTTCTGACTCATCTAAAAAAACGTTTGACATGCAGGACTCGTCTTAAACATTTTAAAAAATGAGAACTTACTTTCCACCCGGGTGGAAAGTGAGCACTTTCCACCCGGGACCACTTTCCACCCGGGTGGAAAGTAAAATTCAAAAAAGTGTCACTTTCAAACTTTTGAAAAGTCAGAAATGTCAACATTACGTATGTGGTTGTAAATAAAATAAATTCCCCGTGTGGGGATTTGTCAGTTACCTTCATCGGGTGCGTCCCTATGGCAATTTGGGGAAGCTCGCTGGGTTTGTAATCCAACAGATTCAGAGGGTAGTGGGAAAATAAAATAACAACCGTGAAACAAAAACTGACCTGGTCCTCCAGGATGGGGGTTGAAGCATTAGGGTGGTTCTCTAATACTCAGTAAAATATAAAAGTACCAAAAAACCTAAACGAATCCTCGGAACATTAGACGAATCACCAAATCACGGCCAAGAAAATGGACTATGAATTTCGCACGTGGAATGTACAGGGTATTAGACTGAAAACGGATATTATTGCATCAGCAATTCAGAAATTGAACATCGATTTAGTAGCACTAACCGAAACCAAGAAAATAGAAAGTGGCACCGAAAATGTTGGAGAATATATTCACCTTCTTACTGGAGCGTCAAAGGAAATGAGAACAGTTAGATACTCCATACTGATAAGGAAAAACTGTAAAAACAAAATTAACAACTGGGAAGCTGTAGATGAAAATATCCTCAAACTACATGGCTATAACATCACCATTATCATAATAGCAGCCTACGCTCCATCAGAGGACGAAAAAGTCGGCATTAAGCAGGTGTTCTTTGACAAATTGGATGAAATCCTAGTAGATATTGGAAAAAATACAGAAATCATAATGACAGGGGATTTCAATGGAAGAACGGGAAGGACGAACAATAGCCCAGTTGTAGGATCATTTGGAGAAGAAATATTCAATGATAATGGCCAAAAGCTCATACATCTCTGTGAGACCTACAATCTTAGAATAAACAATGGATTTTTCAAACATATGGATACAGAATATACCCGGTAACCTGAAAACTATTATTGACTATGTGGTTAAATGTGGTAAGCAAACAAGAAACAAACATAGAGATGAACGACGTAAAAGTCCTAAGAGGAATAACTTCCGGGTCAGATCATTTTTTAGTAAGAGCCAAAATAAAGTTGCAATTTAGGAAAATGAACAAGAACCCAGAGGAACAAAACACCAATGCCATACTAATGGACACAGTGGAAACAACAAAATGCAATTTTGACAGTTTTAGAGAAGACAGCACTGTATTTTTATATCAGAGGCGACTCGACAGCAAACTATTGAATCCTGAAGAATGAACCTTTAATAAACTCTATGAGAACATTAAGGAGTCTAATAGAAGCCACTCAAGAAAGAACGAAGGAAAAAAATACCAACAAGAAATATTGGTGGAATGAGGAGATAGAGATATTAGTCCAAGAGAAGAAGCAAAAATATCTGAAATGGCTAACAACAGAAAATGGACAAAACCTTGAAGTTTATGAAGACACAAAAAGACAACTAAGAACGGGCATTGGATAAGAAATGTGAAGAAATTAACACTAGGTCACCTACATAGGAGGAAAGAAATGCTCAGAGGTATGGAGATTTATATAAAATGTCAAGAATCTAGGAAAAAACAGAGCTAATATCGAGATTATTAAACCAAAGCAATGGATAGAACACTACAAGGGTCTATTACAAGAAAGTAGACCGGAATGGAATATATATTAGATTCTCCAAGACATATTGAAGTACATAAATGCCATGGAGAAGTAGTTGAGATATCTGAAGAAACAGAAAAAAGACTGTTAGGAATCTTAAGTCAGGAAGGTAAAGCTAGAGGCCCAGAAGGGATATACCCCGAAATGCTAAAATGGGGAACTGAGAAGATCTTTAAAGGTCTCACATGTATTATCAATAAATGCCTGAATGGACATCCTGTTCCACAAGACTGGAAAACTTTGCTTTTATACCATCCATTCACAAAAAAGGATACAAGCTTGACTGCAATAACTATCGGGGCATATTAGTCACAGGCACACTAAGCTAAGCGAACTATAGTAGAATCCTGCGTGATCTCATTGAAGAAGATTATAAAGAGAAAGAAGAAGAAGAGCAGTGCGGTTTTAGAGCAGGAAAATCAGGTAAAGACAACGTATTTTGCCTGGAACAAAGTCATAGAAATGAGATCTGCTAGACATTTGGAAACCCACCTCACATTTGTGGACCTACAAAATGCATATGATACAGTACCAGAATCCAGACTATGGAAGGTGTTAGAACAATCCATCAATCACACCTACCTATATAACAACACTATGTAAATACTCAAAATCAAGAATTAAGATAGGTAAAAAACTCAGACACATTTACAGTGAATAAAGGACTAGGTACGTCAAGGATGTTGTATCTCTCCTATACGCTTTTTAAAATTACGTAGCAGTAACACTGGAAAATTGGAAGGGGAAGTTCCATGGAATGGGTATAGAGATAAATGATAGGTGCCTGTTTACTCTTCAGTTTGCAGATGATCAGGTCATAGTGGCTAGTGACAAAGAGGGCATGCAATATATGATTAGAAAGTTGATAGAAGAGTACCAAAAATGAGGCCTGAGAGTTAATATAAATTTAACAAAATAGGTATCTATGTGTAGGCACCCAGAACGGAAACTTGAAAGTGGACGATGGTCAGGAAATTCTGCAATGTAAAGAATATGAGTATCTGAGTATCACCTCGACAACACCGGAACAGACGTGAAAGAAATAGAAAAGCGAATATACGTGACAATGATAAATAGCAGCCTTCTATATGGAGCCGAGACTTGGAGAATTACAGATAGATAAAAGAAAAAAGTGGAAGCAGTTGAAATAGATCCTATTAGAAGATCCATGGCGAATCTCACGAAGAGAGAGAATAAGGAACGACAATATAAAACAACAAATGGAAATAGAAGGCACGATAGTTCAGGACATTGAAAGGAAACAACTTACTTGGTACGGACACGTAGAACGAAAGCCAAATATTAGGTGGCCCATAAAAATGCTGCATTCGCAACTAACAGGTAGAAAAAAACGAGGAAGACCAAAACTGGAATGGCAGAAGACCATTCAAAAGTCCATGAGTGAAAGAAATCTCTTATCAGAGGATTGCGACGATAGAAGAGGATGGAAATTAGGTGTCGGATAACGAGGAAAGACGTTCTAAAATGACATAATATATACGAAATGAATTCACTCGTGTTCTATTTGGAGTTACAATAGAGTTGCCTGCTTCCAAAGAGCTATTGATGGAATTATTGAAAATAGAAATTTAATGGGATTTTTTGCTTATCTAGACGACGTGACAATCTGTGGAGTCACACGACAGGAACATATAAAAACTTGAGAAATCCATGATAGCTATAAAGAAAATATAACTTGACAATTTTCTATCAAAATCGTAAGACTTCTTGGTTATCTGATAAAATGGCACTACGACCAAATTCATAGGATTGGAATGTTTGTTAAATCTATTATCTGTTCCAGAAGGTATTTACCTAATCAATGCAGGAGGGTAGGTATGTAGGTACTAGGAATTTTTTCTCACTATTCAAAATAAGTTCTATGATTTTTTGAGAAAATTCATATTCTCGTAAATTCAGAGCAGACGTTGCCTGATCTGAGGCTATATTTCTCAAATTCAAAGGATTGAAGATATAATATTGCTGGGTTCTGTTTTTGTACCTATTGATCCGATTCTCGTATTCTTTATAGTTGTAGAAATGCATTATACATATAAAATCAAGAAATCTACTCTTTTTTTTTAGTATTTCAAATTATATTCTACCAAAGAAATTCGAAAAATAACAGCTTCTTACCCTATATCTGAAACGTATCAAAACAATCTGCCATTTGAGAGATTGGACAATGGACAGGGTGCTTTACCGGCATTCCATAATTATTTGTTTACAATAGTTGATGAGTTTTCCACATTTCTTTTTGCTTGCGCTGATATGACATCTGATACTGGTATTAAATGTTTTGATCAACTTTTCTCACCATTTGTAATGCCACATCACATTGATTCAGATCAAGTTTTATGAAGAATTAAAATCATACTTACATACCAGAGAAATAGCTATAATTCAAAGTATTCTATATTATTCTAATCTGGAAGGTAATGGCCAAATAGAATGCTACAATTGCATCATAATTTGGAAGACCTTGAGTTTAAAATCCTGAGGACTTAACATCCATCATTGTGAAGAAGTACCTACCTACCTGGTACTCCTCATAAGAAGATGTTCAGTCATCCAATAGAATCGACGGTTAGAAAAGCTGGCTAGCTTATCCAAGACCAGTCCTTGTTCGAAGACAAGTGAGATAGAGCAAATATGAACCAGTTCATTAGTAGAGAAAGCCGAACTTATAGAAGTTAATTCCGAGAATGTATACTGGTACAATTTTCGGATGGAAGAGAAGCAAACAAAAGTGGTAGGTAATCTTCAACTATTCAAAAAAAGACAGTTGCTGTGAATATTGCAAACTGGAATTTAGAAGAATTTTATCACTACTTCAAACTGTGGGGAACCATCAAGAGCACCATATCAGACTGATAAGAGATTCCATTATTTAAAGTCAACATGTCTAGAAGTGGAAATGCTATTTCACCTCCTCCCGAAACTGACTGCTGATAGTACCTACCCCGAATGGATCTCCAACGAGTGCATCCTGTAATGGATTAATAATGGAACCTGTAAATAAAAGCGATAGAGCAAGAGTGCCTCTGCACCACTTAGCACTGGTTTTTAGGACTTTTATCGGATATCATTTAATATTTTTACTGTGTTTTCTATCGAGAATGCTTGGTGATAAAGTTCCATATAGGACTAGGAATTTTGCTGGCAGTGGAACTACATGGATTTCCAGCCTTTGCCCTGTGTTATTAGCTGCTTCTGCTGCTTTTCAGTTGTTGGTGTCATTATTTTTTCTGTTGAAGCTGTTTGGAAATTTAGGGAAGATTTTTTGAGTCCACAAGTCCACAGAATGGCATGGGAAGGCGTCGTAACTGCTTGTTTTGCTAGAATACCTATCTGTTTTCTCGTAATCGTCGTATTGCCAACTGTGCTTTGATATCCTGGTGTCTACATCAGAATTACCACAATAAGTTGCTTGAAGATCTTTTTGCTTTCCTGAAGCAGCTGCGATGTGCACCTTGTTAGCTCCTACAACTTTTAGAGTCGCTTTGGCTATATTTTCATGTTAATTATATAATTTACTTACGAACTTCAATTATATATTGGGGCCGTACACAAATCTACTTTAAACTCTGTTAGTTTATTTTAATTCGTCATCCAGCTATACTGATCCAGTGGCTGACTTGACAGACTCCTGGATCAATAAAAAAATTCCAAAATACATATGCAAACTAATATATTTTACAACAAATAAATAAATAACTAAATAAATACAACAATCTATGAAACTCAATGATGGTACTGGTGGTATTCAGGAGCTGCGGCAACAATTTTCTTATAAACTGGAGCTTCAGTTGGGTGTCCTTCCTTTTCGACTACAGCATTGAAACCGTGACCGTCGTCAGAGTATTTCACAATTCTGACAGTACCATCGGCTTCGTGAAGGGAGTATTGTCCTTGGACATGGTCTCCATCGCGGTGCTCTTGCTGGGAATGGATGTCTCCGGTGTGAGGGTCTTGGATACCGTAAGCGAACTCGTATTTAGCTGGGCCATGTTGTTCTTCATGGTGAGGTTCGTAATGGTAGTTTTGGGCAGCGCAGCTGGCAACTACCAAACAGGCAATAGCGAAGATCTATACAATTAAAAAAAAAATACAATAAACAAAAAAAATTTAAACCCATATAATATAAACTTACTTTGAACATTTTTGAACTGTTAGATGACAAATACAAAATTTGACTGTGGCTCTTAAAACTTAACCCCGGTCTTTTATATTGAAATAATTAATAGGTGGGTTAATCGGTATCTTATCTAAATCTAATAATTTGCATTTTATGCGTGACACAAAAATTTAAGTCTGTTAATTAGCTATTGTAACAATGTCAAGGTGGGAATTATCTAATAGTTAAATTGCCTTAAGGTTCAAGTCTATATTATGGTACCTATTGATTGAGACAAAATATTTATCAAATTTTGTGAATTTTTGAATTTTTCAACTTTCTCCAAAGGGTAATATAAAGCTCAGAGGAGTTTTGATATTTGAGACTATCAAAGGTCATTTTCCATTTTTCAAATAGAAGTTATTGTAGATTTTTATTAGAGAAATTTGGTGTACTAAGCATAAAGCTATATGTTTCCAAGATAATCGGCATTCGGCATTAATTTTTTTCAAAATTTTGACCCAATGTTTCAACTTTGAGGCCTCCACATCTGGAAAACTACTACTTCACATATAAGTTTCATTCCACAAGTGCATTCCATTCAAGAGCCTCAAATATAGAAAATTTGAGTCTCAAAAATAATCTTTTTCCTATTCTCGGCTCTTGGAAAGCCTAGTTTGAATTGACTTGATTGATTTTGAGATAAAAATTAACCGGGAATAATCAAAAGAATGAATAAGTTCAGGGTGATATTTGAACTTTTTTCCCTTCTAAAGAAAAGCGAATTTGAGTAAAGGCATTTATTATGATTAATATTATATTAGAACTTCCACTACAACATCAACCTGAAATTATTTAGTCTCAATCCAAATATGTAGGTAATTAGCTGCGTATTGCTGCTTCATTATTAAATAATTCAAACCTTGACTTTGTTACTCTTTTCATAATTAGTTAATAATAATATGCAGATTGGATTTTTGAGTGAGGGAAATTTAAGTGTTACATTTTGATATAAAAGATACGCTCATTTTTCTTGAAAGTCACAGTCAAATTATTAATTGATTTAGGTATCAACAAACAAAACAGTTCAAAATGTTCAAAGTAAGTTACTTAGTGGGTTTGTTTGGTTCCAATTATCAGACATTTGTTATAATAATAATAATTTTATGGAATTTGATTTAGTTCTTTAGTCTTGATTCTCAATTATTCTAGATCTTCGCTATTGCCTGTTTGGTAGTTGCCAGTTGCGCTGTCCAAAACAACCATTACGAACCTCACCATGAAGAACAACATGGCCCAGCTAAATACGAGTTTGCTTACGGTATCCAAGACCCACACACCGGCGACTTCCATTCCCAGCAAGAGCACCGCGATGGAGACCATGTCCAAGGACAATATTCTCTTCACGAAGCCGATGGTACCGTCAGAATTGTCAAATACTCTGACGATGGACACGGTTTCAACGCTGTAGTAGAAAAGGAAGGACACCCAACCGAAGCTCCAGTTTACAAGAAAATTGTTGCCGCAGCTCCTGAATATCACCAGTACCATCATTAATTTCATAATTTGTTGTAGTTATTTATTTAAGTATTTATTTGTTGTAAAATAAATTAGTTTGCATATATTTTGGAAACTTTTTATTGATCCAGAAGTCTCTAAAGTAAGCCACTGAGTACCTACAACTTAATGACTGACTAATTAAAAACCAACTTTAAGGTTTGTGTACTGCCTCAGTAATAATTGAAGTTCGTAAAGTAGGTAAATAAAATGTGTGAATAACTTAAAAACTTGACTCAAAAGTGTTTTGAATTACGGATCGACGAATTTATTTTTTCACGTTTACCTTAGCTTGGGAATGAATGGACCAAATTTCAAAATCTCCTTCAATGCAAGAAACACAGAAGTGAAGTAGCAAACTATAGACCTCCTGCTTCAGTTTTACCTGTGTGTTTTCCAAGATTGTGGAAATATGGTGTCAATCAAAGGTTACTAGTCTTTTTGAATACCTACTAATAATTTGCTGAATGGAAGTCAATATGGTTTTTGTAAGGACAAAGACACTGAGACAGCAGTTGAAGATTTAATTTCAGATATACAGCTTACAATAGATAGTGGTCAAATATCTGCCTTAAGAGGCTTATTCTGTAACTCCTGTGTCCCTTGATTTACAAAAAACCTTTGATACTGATGTAGACCATGGAATATACTGTTGATGAAGCTGGAATAAGGGGCGTATACCTTTGCTTTGGTTTCAGGAGTTATTTAGCAGATAGAAAGCAGATGGTTAGCATCAATGATGTGGAAAGCTATGTGCAGGACATTAAATGTGGGGTGCCTCAGGGGTCAGTGTTGGGGCCTACAGTATTTCTATTGTATGTGAAATCCATTTGTAAACTGAACTTGAGTGGGATAGTCGTGTTAAATGATTGGTTAATATCTCATAAATTAACGCCTAATATTAAAAAATCATCTTATGTGTAAAAGCAATTTAAATAATAACCAAAACATAGGTAATGTTTGGAATCCAGTCTCTGAAGAATGCCTGTACATACAATATTTGGGACTTATTATAGATAGATAGATTACACTGTCTTGGGCAAATCACATATAGCGAGTAACGAAAAAAATTTCCCCGCCTGTACCTGTATCCAAGGAATGCCTTAAAAGATTCCACAAGAAAGCACATTTAAATTCTGTTAGTTAGCTTAGGCGATACATAAACGACAGGTATCTAAATAAAGTAATATTTACTAAGACAAACTTTTTATACGAAACATCAATATTTTTCAAGAATAGGTATGTGAAAGGATAAAAAAATAAAATAAAGAAAAACAGTAAAAGATTGGTTCAATCCAAAAAGTCTATAATCTGATGAAGGATCGTAATAAACTCTACCAGAGAAAATCAAAAGAAATTCCTATAATGGAAACAATATTCAAAATTATAAAATTATGAACGAGTACCTACGTATGAGAAAGAGGATAACCAAGATGGCAATCTTATCGTAATGCTTATAAAACCGCAAGCAAATTTTTCGATATCAGCAATCATAATGCTGATTGTATGTCCATGGTCTCCATATCTATATCTATGACACCTGACCTCTGAACATATCCAGTATTTTGTGTCCTTCATGATGGACTTAGTTTTGTTATACTTGAAGCAATAATTCATGAGTAAAAAACAAGATGCAGCTTAAATTTTATTCATAATAAATAAATTAAATAAATAAATCATTTGGTATTTGTACAAAAATAACTTAGTGGTGGTATTGGTTGTATTGTGGGGCAGCTACAGCTACAACTTTCTTGTAAGCTACAGGAGCTGGAGTAGGTTCTCCTTGTTTTTCTACTACAGCATTGAAACCGTGTCCATCGTCAGAGTATTTGACAATTCTGACGGTACCATCGGCTTCGTGCAGAGAGTATTGCCCTACAACATGATCTCCATCACGTTTTTCTTCTTGAGAGTGGAAGTCTCCAGTGTGGGGGTCTTGAACGGCGTAAGCGAATTCATAGTGAGCTGGACCATAGTTTTCTTCTTTGTAGGCTGGAGCAGCTACATATTTAGCTACAGAAGGGACAGCGTATACCTGTTTGGCTACAACTGGACCGTGAGAGTAAGTTGGAGCAGAGTATTGTTGTACAGCTGGAGCGCTGTGGTAAACTGGAACAGTTTGTTTAGCTACAGCAGGAGCCTGGTAGTATGAAGGAGTAGCGTATTTGATTGGAGCAGGTGCAGATGGAACGTGTTGTACTGAACTGTGGTCGTTGTTGAATGACGAAAAAGAGGTGGCTCCAAGGTGGTCAATTGGGCCTGCGTTGGCAGCTGCCAAAAAGGCTACGGTAACGAAAAGCTGGAAAATAATTGCATATTAAAATACAAAATTAATTTTTTTTAACTTAATATGTGCTCTATTACCTTATACATTATTGTATTTTGTAGTTACTTGAATGAAGTTGACTTGAACAGTAAAGATATTTTGAAATATTTGCCAATATATAGTATAAAGAATTAGTGCACCACACCCCCTACAACCTTCACCGAGAAAGTATTTAAATGGATAACACAGATCAACATGTGTGGTACCAACCACCAAAAAATAACTGTCCTTTTCATTTTCGTTCATTTGAATTTTTGAAGGTCAATGAGTAGGTATTTATGAAGAAATTTACTTTAGGTAGTAAATTAATTAATAGATAAGTATAATGAACAATTTTTCTAATGGCGTCGAATAAAACAGTTAAAATTTGAACAACTACACTTTTTTTGAAGGTATTTACCTCCTTTGTATTATTATTCCAACATTTCAAAACTCAATATCGCAGTACTCACAGATGACAGGTTTCAGAGATTATAGGTAGGTACCTAAAGTTTTTCCAAAGTCAATTGGAACAAGGTGAACATAAATCATAACTGGTGGCTGACTAGTGGCAGTGCATTTCCTATGGAAATTTTCAGTGACCAGTCAGCTACCAGTTGGTACCTAGTTCCAATTGAGTTTGGAAATACTATACCTCTAAACGCACTTTTATTTTGCCCTGTATATCCAGTGCTATTCTCAGTTCAAAGGAGTTGATGACAGATTATTTGTAGGCACTGTTTGATTCTGTTATTTTGGAATGGAATTCAGGAACACAGTTCAAGGCTATTCCTGAAGTTGGTATGAGCACATTGTCTTCATGTGCTCATCTTTTTGATTTTCTGCTGAGGCTTCATTTGCTTGCTTTCTGCCTTCTTGGTTCAATAACCAACATTGTTTTCTGAAATGGCCTAGCTTTCCAGTTTCCGCAATGATGACAACTAAACTTTTTTTTCTGTTCGCCACTAGCATGTGGATTATTCTGGTCATTAAATTTCTTCTCATGCTTAATATTCCACTTTTTATTGGTGTTATTGAACTCACTAAATGCTGCTACACAAGACGAATCTTCTCTATTCAGATTATGTAGACTTTTCTTCTTCATCTCTGACATCTCTTGATCTTAAACTTTGCCCTTGCCAAATTCTAACGTCAGTTTATGTTGTTCCAAAGTTTTTAGGGCAGTAACAATATTATCATAACTTGAGGGTAACGACAACAGGAAATGGCAAACAATATCGGTTTCTTCTAGTGTTGCTTCTACGGACTTTATTTCGCTCATAGTTTCCTCAAATTCTATGAAATGATTTTCAAGTGTTTCGCTTTTCTATTACCTCATAGCATTGTCTCATAGTTAACAATTTTTTTTTTTCAGATAGAGCTGGCTTGCAATGCCCTTCCGTTGAAACACTTTATCTTTGATGTACTCCAAGTGCGAATTAGCAACGCATTGAACAATAATGTTTTTACATTTCTTGTAGCTTTACTTCGTCTTGTGAATTTTGATTTATGGCCCGGTCCACACAAGTTTTAACTCCATTGTGATCAAGCACAATTTCAACTCGGAATTTCCAATTACCATCAAACTGAAATATTCCGAACTTTTCCACGGCGAAATTACTTCTCGAGTTCAAGGCCATCTTCCACAAACACACAAGCTTAGCTACTTATTTCCAAACTTATCACAATTTGGTTTCTGGGCCCATAACCTGATGGAATCTTTGAAGCACCAAATATAAGTTTGTGAATGTAATAGAAAAACACGATTACACTTGATTACGATTGAAGAAAAACTAAAAGGAAAAAAAAGTATCATAAACGAATCTATTATAAACTGCTGGACAAATGAAACGGAACAAGCGAATGTTTAGCTTAGATTTAAATTCCAATATTACGCATACTAAAGAAGATATCAATGAGTGGTTTGTGGAATTAATTTTTCAAATTACACAAACCGCTCACTGATTTTTTCTTTGGTTCGCGTAATATTGAAATCCAAAGTTAAACAAGAAATTCCCGTGTTATGCTTCATTTTTCTAGCAGTTTAGTTTATTCCAAATCAATTGATTGAAAATGTTACTTTGGTTAATGAGCCAGTTGAATAAGAAGAGGTTGAACCGACTTTAATAAATTGAGGAAGAAGTTGCTTTAACTTAATCTAGATTCTAGATAACACCTACGTCACCTACTGAAAACTCTTGCTTTAAATTAGAGAAAATGTTCGAACCTACTCTTTCGTTTCTTTTCTCTGAAACCAATTAGGTATATAATTGAAGCAAAAAGATGCAATTCAAATTTTATTCATAATAAATAATAAATTAAATAAATAAATCATTTGGCATATTCACACAGGCATTGGGTACCCTGTAACTAGTGTAACTTAGTGGTGGTATTGGTTGTATTGTGGGGCAGCTACAGCTACAACTTTCTTGTAAGCTTCTGGAGCTGGAGTAGGTTCTCCTTGCTTTTCTACTACAGCATTGAAACCGTGTCCATCGTCAGAGTATTTGACAATTCTGACGGTACCATCAGCCTCGTGCAGAGAGTATTGTCCTACAACATGATCTCCATCACGTTTTTCTTCTTGAGAGTGGAAGTCTCCAGTGTGAGGGTCTTGAACGGCGTAAGCGAATTCATAGTGAGCTGGACCATAGTTTTCTTCTTTGTATGCTGGACCGGCTACATATTTAGCTACTACAGGAGCAGCATATACTTGTTTAGCTACAACTGGAGGGTGAGAGTAAGTTGGAGCAGAGTATTGGTGTACAGCTGGAGCACTGTGGTAGACTGGAATAGTTTCTTTAGCTTGGTAGTATGAAGGAGCAGCGTATTTGATTGGAGCAGGTGCAGATGGAACATGTTGTACTGAGCTATGGTCGTTGTTGAATGAGGAAAAAGAGGTAGCTCCATGGTGGTCAATTGGGCCTGCGTTGGCAGCTGCCAAAAAGGCTACGGTAACGAAAAGCTAAAAAATAATTGCATAATAAAATACAAAATTGAAGTTTTTCAAATTAATATGTGCTTTACCTTATACATTATTGTATTTTGTAGTTACTTGAATGAAGTTGACTTAAACAGTGAAGATATTTTGGAATATTTGCCAATATATAGTATAAAGATTTGGTGCACCACACCCCCTACAACCTTCACCGAGACAGTATTTAAATGGATAACACACTTTTGGATTTTTATTACACTTTTTTATTGAGGTATTTACCTCCTTTGTATTTTTATTTGAACATTTTTAAACCTCAATATATCGGTACTTACAGAAGATACTAAGCAAAATGTTTCAGAGATTATAGGCAGGTATATAGGTCTAAGCGCACTTTTTTCTTTTTTGCCCTGTATAGCTATCCGTTGCTATTCTGAGCTCAAAGAAGTTGATGTCAGTTTATTTGTAGGCACTTGTTTGCACAACTTTCTCCCTATTTGGTCCACCTTGTAATGGTTTCCAAAATCCCCATATACCTACATCAAAGTTATTCCGGACACTCAGTATATACTTAACTTTGAAAGTAAAATTGTTACCAAAAAAGCTGAAAAAAGAGAGTTAAATTTTTAGTTAAAATGTCTGTGATTTGTTCACCAATTGGCTTGTAGTGTGGACCAAATCTTTATTGAAATTGTATTTCACATCAATGTGCTTCAATTTTCTGTGATCAAACCTTCTCGTTAACTTGATACAGGATTGGTTGTCTGTTGTCTTCGAATAAATGTCAAAACTAGTTTTCTCAAAACCAAAATCATAAAGAATATTTGATAACCAAATGCCTTCTTCAGCAGCCTCTATAAGGGAGACATATTCTGCCTCTGTGGAAGAGGTCGCAACTGTACTTTGTTTTTGAGTTGACCAACCAACCAAACTGTGCTACCGAATACCTTAAATAAGTACCCAATTGTTGATTTTCTGTCTGTCTCATCTCCAGCAAAATCTGCGGCCGAGTATCTGATAATCTTGACGTCAGTGTTCAATAAAATACATAATTTTGTATTGATAGTTCCCTTACACTTCATTTGGTTTACTTTGAAACCTAGGCAATGCACAAATTCACCGAAATGCTTAAATCCGGCCTTGTGTATAGCCAACATTAGGTAATACATTAAGCATCCCACGAGTTCCCTAACAGCGAACCTTATTAAGATATATTGTTTTTGACTAAGATAAACGAAATTGTTAGCACATGTTACGTCGATACCTGAAAATGTATTTAATTTACCTAAATCTTGCATTTCAAATTCTAATTTTAATTTAATTTTAATTCTATTAATTTCAGAGTAGTCGCTGCTGGACAGCAAAATGTCGTCAACATAGAGCATTGTATTATTTTCAACATGTTTTACGTACAAATATGGATCGTTATTTGACCTTCCGAAATTTTCCTTCTGCGCAAATGCATTGAATCTTTTATTCCAATAGTATGGGTCTTGTTTAAGCCCATACGGCGCTTTATTCAATTTACACACTTTACCAATCCGATATCTTCAAAACCTTCAGGAATTGACATGTATATGTTTTTATCAATTGTACCTACCATGCAAAAACGCGGATATAACATTCATCTGTTGTATTGTTTTTTTTACAGTTTTTGTCTCAAAAAGAGATTCAAAGACGTCTTTAAGACATTTCCTTGAAGACGTCTTCGTCTTCAGAATGTCTTGGAAAAATGCCATTAAGACATTTTTAGGGAGACGTTTCAAAGACGTTGAATTCTATACGATGTCTTTAAGATACCTTGAACACGTAAGGTAAGCAGACATCTAAAAAATGTCCTGAATGTTGTTTAGGGACATCTAAGGGGTGTTTTTAAGATCTCCACAAAAACTTCCCACCAAAATTCGTTTCTCATTCGATTTAGAAGTTACTGGAAACCATTTAAAAAGCTACAGCACACTTTAGAAATTTTTGGAAAGTTCAAAACACTTAAAATTTAATTTAGAATTCCCAAAAGAATTATGTAACGTTTCAGAACCATTTGAAACTTCAGAACAATTTTAGAATACTCCAATAAATTCAAAAACTGATTTACAATTTCCAAAAGCATCCTAAAACAATTCAGAAGTTTGAAATCTATTTTAGGATGCTCCAAAACACTCAAACACTCTAGAATCTCCAGAAACATTTTGAAAAGCGCTAGAATCTTAAACCCGGTCCAGACTATGTAACAGAACATGATATATAACAAAGTTGTATAACTTGTTAGAGAATTTTAAATAAAAAAGTTATAGGTACAACACAATGTTGTACAACATTTTGCTTGTTATATAACATGTTTTATGTTATCCATCGGTTGTCGGTAAAGATCAAAGGAAGTTATAAAACTTTGTTGTAAAACACGACCCTACTCGTCTAGACTTGAAAATAAGTTATTGAAACATTTCTCTCGAGCATTGGCGTATTTGCAATAATTTGGATTTGGCGTAGTACGAGTACGGCTTATTGGGCAATTTCAGCGTGAACTGAAAAAAGGAAACAGTGGCGATGGAGCTGATGCTTGTTATAAAACAAAGTGGATATTTTTTAAAATGCTTTTATTTTTAAAAGATAAGAATGAGCCACGTCATTCTACTGAAGGTGGTCTACTTTCCCAGCAATATACTCAGACACAGGACACTGAGAATATCACTACTGCTGAGCTACGTTTGACGCCATTTCACATACTACCGCTTACCACCAGCTGAAATGCCGCGAACATTCGCACTATTTTGTTTTGTTTTTTGTTATGTAGTCTGGATGCTTCTGCTATATTGTAACAAGTTACACAACAAAGTTGTACAACCAATTTGTTATATAACTTTGTTATTAACATGTTTTGTTACATAGTCTGGACCGAGCTTTAGGATTCAGGTTAAATGTTACAAAACGCGCAGAAGGCGTTCAAGTGCGAATTTAAATTGTTGTAGATCTTTTCAAACCTTTTAATAAATAAGCATCAAAAACAGTACAAGTCCATATATCAGAATTTTCTAAAATGCTCCAGAACTCTTCAACACTCAAAAAAATCTTGATCATAATATCAATGAACTGCTTTCATAAATTACATTTTCATTGATTCAGTGAAATTTTCATTAATCCCAAGTACAGAAAACTGTAAGTATTATGATTTCATGAACAGCTATCATTAAAATAAAGAATGAAGCTTCATTAAGTTATGAATAGTCATCTACATGAATCTATGTTGAATAGTGCATCGGTTATAAGAACTAAGTTCATTGATATTATGAAATTAAACCTTGATATTAAAGAAAATTTCTTTGATGGGAGCTTCCACGGAATATTCATAATATAAATGAATATTAACATGAATAATATGAATATGGTTCATATAACCTTACTAGAAACTTATCCTTTTAAGAACGATATTCATTGATACAATGTACGGTTCATTTAAAACAAGCAAGTATTCCTAGAAACAAAGCTGCAACCATTACATCAAGATAAATCATAAATACAATGAAACAGTTCATAGCATTAATGTAGACAGTTCCTAAGCACATGCGCAAAGGTAGCTGCAGTCGGGCAACGACATAGAAAAATATGTTGAAATAGGAATAATTACATTTCTATTTTCTGGGTGCATTGCTACGCACTTCGTTCAAGACGGTTTTTTCGGTTTTGTGTTGTTCGAAGTGTTAAATAGAAAGACGATTATACCTGTCGCCGGTTTTTTCTAAAGGTAAGTTGTATACCTCTATTACCTCTATAATATGTATACCTATTATGTAGGTAGGACTTTGATGCCTTGCACGGAGACGGTCTGGTCTCAAAATGGGAATGCGAAAGAAATGACCTAGAGACTTAAATTTCATCCGGGGAGAACGTGAAAGACAAAAGCGTCAAGAGCTCCTCAGAATTTCTAAGGAATACTGAAGTCTGTAAAAGTAAGTATACCCAATCTCAAATCAAGTTGTAATTTTTTTAATCGATATATTTTTGTTAAATGGTTTTGTTTCACTAGGTAGAAAAGCAGAAGATTCAATACCGCAGCTAGTGTTTCATAGCCGAGGCAAGGAAACCAGCCAAGGCATCAAATCTAATTTTCTGATGTGGCTTGTTTTAGAAACTTTGGATGTTGATAGTTCAAAAACAGCTGGAACAAATATAGATATATTATATATTTATGGAAACAGGATTTGAGGAGGATTTGAAAGATAATAGAATATACGGTTAGTGTCATTTAAAATAATAATACATAAGTAGGTACTTAGATTTTTAAATTTTCAGATTTTGGGATGCCCATTGGTTTGTTTGACAATTCTGGAAGATGATACGAAGAAACCATGCAACTTTTGCATTAAAAGCTTTTTTCCTATTGCTCATATTCATCAGTACAGGGGACACGCAAATATAAAAAATGACCCTTTACCCCATTTAAAATCATAAGTATATTTAAGGCATAATTCATGAAATTATTTTAATAAAAATAAAGAATATGGTACATATTATTGAAAACGTCATTAATAAATACAATGAATGAAATTCTTAGTATTCAAGACTGTGATTCATAAATACAATGAAAGGGTTTTATCAAATTATATCTGGGCTTCATTAATATTATGCCGTCTGTTCATCAGGACAATGAAAAAGTACATATAAACTAAGAACGATGTTTATTGTTACTATGAAAAGTTTCATTAATACAAAAACCTTGCTACATACCTTAATGTTCGTTGTTCATACACAAGATGAATCGAAATAGGAATTAAGAAATTGTTCATACTTCAATAACGTAGAGTTCATGTGATCAAAGAAGCCGTTCTTTGGACCGATTTTAATGAATTGTTCATTAAATCAAAGAACAACTTCTTTCTATTTATGCTACTATTTGGTTGAGTGAAGCCAAGCTAACACTTTAGAACTTCGATAAATTCTTAACTTTCTTTTGGCTCTTGAATTTTTTCATTCAAAGTTCTTGAGTTCTCATTTTTCCCATATTTTAGAATTTGCTTGAATAGCTCTTGATTTGTATTTTAATTTTTAGGTACTCTTACCTAAATGATAGAAAATTTGTTTCAGGTTATTTCATTACAAATATTTGAGAATAGAGTGGAGCATATTGACTAAAAGTATAACTTTGAATGTGAAACTTTAAATAATGACATATATAAGTACACAATTTCAAATTAGCAGAGACATTAACTGACTGAAGACCTTTACAAAGTTCATATCTTCTTAAACGTCTGGTCTTAAACTGTAAGAATAGGACTACGAATCCCGAGAGGAATAGCGCAGTCAATATTCTCGCAAAAACAAATAATTCCAAATGCATTTTTTGAAAACTAAAACGAAATTTTAAATACAATAATGCATCATTTATTAATTTCAATAAACAAAGTATAACATAAATAAATATTATTCAGCTAATTTAGCTAATGACTTAATGTACACACGCAAATGGCATATTAATCAAAGTCTCCTTTTAGTAGTGTTGACTGTATTCGGGAGCAGCTACAGCTACAACTTTCTTGTAAACTGGGGCTTCAGTGGGCTTTCCTTGTCTCTCAACTACGGCATTGAAACCGTGTCCTTCATCGAAGTATTTCACAATCCTGACGGTACCATCGGCTTCGTGAAGAGAGTATTGTCCTACAACGTGGTCACCATCACGTTTTTCTTCTTGAGAGTGGAAATCGCCAGTGTGAGCGTCTTGGATACTGTAAGAGTATTCGTAATGGGCTGGAGCGTATTCTTCTTCTTTGTGAGCGTAAGCTGGTGCAGCTACGTATTTAGCTACAGGGGCAGCATAAACTTGTTTAGCTACAGCAGAGTAAGTTGGAGCAGAGTATTGGTGGACAACTGGAGAACTGTGGTAGACTGGAGCAGCTACTTTGGCAACTGGGACAGCTACTTTGGCAACAACTGGAGCGGCATGGACTGAGTAGTGAGCAGGGGCTTGGGAGTAGTGAGCTGGAGCAGCATGGGAATAGTGAGCCGGAGCTTGAGAATAGTGGACAGGGGCTGGGGAGTAGTGAGCTACTGGAGCTTGGGAGTAATGAGCTGGAGCTTGAGAGTAGTGAGCTGGAGCAGCGTATTTGATAGGAGCTACAGCTGATTCGATGTGATGAACTGAGTTGTGGTTGTCGTTGAATGAAGCGTAGGAAGTGGCTTGATGGTCAGCTGGGGCTGCGCTAACAACTGCCAAAAGCAAACAGACGGAGAATACCTGAAAAGAAATCACAATTATTGAAAATTCAATGAGGAACAAATTGCTTGAATCAACTTTTTGAAGAGTTATTAGACCAATAATTTTTCAAAAACAATTTACAATACACACAAAAAAATTAATAAAGTACCTACTTACTTTGTACATGTTTGTATTAATATTGAACAAACCAACTTGACTTGATAAGTGATTTAAAAAAAAAAATCCGCCTGACTTTTATATTGAAACTTAAAAAGCCTTCCAGGTATTCCATTAATTTTTACATTCACTTATAGTAGTGGGCCACCTCCCAAAAAATACACATTCATAATGACATGTATTAGATATATTATTTTATAAAATCTATAACGTATGAAGGTATTAAGTAACACGATCCCATGTAATAAACAATATTGTGCCTAAGACAAAAATCTAGAGCACCTATAATGTAATAATTAAAATTTGACCCGCAAGGACGCGCGGATTTTATTATATTACTAATGCGGTGTTAAAATATTTAGATCAACTATTGGATAATGCTCAAACGTAACCATTATAATCAATCATTTTTTTATAATACCTACATCAGACATTTTAGATTTGATTTACTTGAAAATTTGAGCGATTGAGGCAAGTGCAATAAGCAAATAAATATTTCCTGATGCATCATAATCAGTTATTTTGTTTCATGCTGCTTATACTGCTAGTTTAAGTACTTAAATCTTGGAAGTTTCATGATCTCATTTTCAGCAGGCAATGATGAGTCACCAACTTGAAGTTGATCTCTGACTTTCGTCTTGAAAATCTTTTGAAGACTGAGACCAATTGGATACCTACAACAAAAACTCCAAACAAACTAAAATGTTCCAAAAGCAACTTAAAAGAGAAGTTCAAATAGTTCAAGGGGTTTCAACAAATCTAAAGTAACTTCCAAAAAAATCTCAATTTGTCCAGATGAGTCAAAGGACACTGGGCAATTAAAATTAAAGTTATTTGAGGGATTTATAGATAATCGACTGTCAAACCTCACTAAATCTAGTTTTGGGTGGGCTAGAAAGCTACGAGTTGTTCTCAATCTCCAAGTTTATCATTTCCTTAAAGAAATTATCTAACTTTTAGTTGAAAACGACTTTAAGCATTTGCCTTTCGACTTCCAGAACATTTACAAAAAGCAACTGTTATGAAACCAAACTTTTGAAAATTCAGATACACCTCGATCCTCCCAACATTTTCTAACCACTTATACTCAATGGTCGATTTTTACAGTAAGTAAATTTTCACAAAATTAACAATTTCAGATTTTTTTTATGTGGATTTATTATATGTTCTTTATTCCAAATTGATTATGTAAAAACTAGAACAGCCCAAATAAGCGCACTTTCTCATAAGAAGAAAATTGATCTATGCCTACATTAAAACGCTTTTTGACCCTGACTGTTCCGAAGAATTTCAAAGGGGGTCAAACATTTTTAAATATTACATTTTACTTTACTAGAGGTAAACATTTTTCAATTCAAGGTGAAGGGTAGATAAATAGTCAAAAAGGGGGTTCAATTATTGATATAAAAGCTTTTGCAGGCGTTCAATAAATCACTGTTCAAGTCACATTTGTTTAGTTAAAACAACATCCAAAACAAAATGTACAAGGTATGTTTTTTTGTTTATTGTTTTTGATAATAATTAGGTATTAATTTCGTTTTGAAATATAGATTTTTGCCATTGTTGCCTTTTTGGCCGCCGCCAACGCTGGTCAAATTGATCACCACCATGGAGCTACCTCTTTTTCGTCATTCAACAACGACCACAGCTCAGTACAACACGTTCCATCTGCACCTGCTCCAATCAAATACGCTGCTCCTTCATACTACCAGGCTAAAGAAACTATTCCAGTCTACCACAGTGCACCAGCTGTACACCAATACTCTGCTCCAACTTACTCTCACACTCCAGTTGTAGCTAAATATGCTGCACCTGTAGCTAAATACGTAGCAGGTCCAGCTTACAAAGAAGAAGAATATGGTCCAGCTCAATATGAATTCGCTTACGCCGTTCAAGACCCTCACACTGGAGACTTCCACTCTCAAGAAGAAAAACGTGATGGAGATCATGTTGTAGGACAATACTCTCTACACGAAGCCGATGGTACCGTCAGAATTGTCAAATACTCTGACGATGGACACGGTTTTAATGCTGTAGTAGAGAAACAAGGAGAACCTACTCCAGCTCCAGTAGCTTACAAGAAACTTGTAGCTGTAGCTGCCCCACAATACAACCAATACCACCACTAAAGTTACAGAGTACCCAATGCCTGTGTGAATATGCCAAATGATTTATTTATTTAATTTATTATTTATTATGAATAAAATTTGAATTGCATCTTGTTTCTTCAATTATATACCTACCTACCTAATTGGTTTTTATAAGAAAAGAAACGAAGTAGTCTTTTGATTTGTCAAAATTTGCTTATTTATATGTAGGTATGTTAGATGAAGAAGCCACCAAAAGTGAAAAAAGTTAAGACAATTTCTGATGATTACCTACCCATCTTCCTAAATCTTTATCATATTTTTAATTGTTATCTTATAACTGTAAGTAATTCATATATGAAGCTTCGATAGTTCAGACCAATCAGACCCTTGGTTAGGTGAGTAAATCAAACGCGCAGTGAATTGGAATTAACTATTATCTAATATATTGGCACATAAATTAGCTGAAAACAATATTATAAAACGAACGAAAGTATAACTTTAAACTAAAAGGTAGAACGTAAAAAACAAAAGTACCTGAGTACACCAAACGGTTAAAACTTGAAAGATGTTTTTCAACGCGAACGCGTACAAAATGGAAGAAAAAAGGAAAATGGATTCTTCTCCCTTTCTCAAAAAAGCGTCAAACGACAAAAACTATAGGTTCGGTACTACGTAGACTACTGCCGAGCAAAAATTTTTATTTTTTCTCGAAGACACGGAAAGGATGCGCAAGGTTACATCAGAGCTTTACATGATGCAACTCTAGAAAAGAAACCCACTTTCTTTCCAAATGTATTTATTTCCTATGCACAAATATATTCAACTCCAAACTCAGTAATTACTGTCAAACAACATAAAAATTAACATGTCCTCAAGTTAATTATTAGATAAATTAATTATAAATATCATTAATTAGTGAATATTCCAAGGACCCCGGTTTTTTATGGACCTATCTTAACAATTATTATCAATAAAGTGCCATGCGTTTGGAAATTGTCGCCACTCTAAATGTCTAACTTAAGTTTTTTTCACTGCCGTTCTGTATCCAATTATTTATTTATATCCATTTTAGCAGGTATGTGACAGCCATGATAACGCATCTGTTCCGCAAAGTCATGAAGAGGATTTTTTAAATTACTTACTAATAGCATGATATTCATAAAAAAAAAACTCTTATGTGACCAACAATAAGAAAAAACGATATGACTCTATACTAATTTTACCTGATTCTGACCTCAGAATTACGTTGTAAAAATCTTTGAGTGAGGTCGCTAGAACTCTTCAATCTGACCCGAAGTCAGATTCCGACGTCTACGTGACCCTTTATTTGTTCACCAAATTGGCGTAACTTTGAGTCGGCATGTGGTCAGATGTACGTAGTGGGCCGACGTCAGGTCTAGTGGCATTACGTCCTGCGACGATAAAATGCTAGTTGGGATTGGTACGAAACCGAAACCCTTCGAACATATTTATATTGACAGGTATATAATCAATAACCAGAAATTTCTGACCATTATTGATAGCTTTCAAAATTTGGTCAAGCCTCTCCTGTAAATGCGAAAACAGCTTTAGAGATATCATCACAGTTATTGAAATATTTTAGTGATCATGCAATACCTCAAAAATTCACATCAGATAATGGAGTTCAAAAATGCTATAATGACAGATCTTTATACATTATACAAAATTGAGTTCCATTATACAACTCCAATAAATCCGAACTCGAACAGTCCAATCGAAAGATTCCATTTGACACTACGTGAAAGTATAACGAGTTTAAAACTTCAAAACCCGAAAAAGAGTATTATGGACCTACTGTCAACAAATGCAATATCTTTGGAGAATGGCAAATTATGTGCTCTTTGCATTATTTTTGGGTAGTTTTATTCCTTGTCTAAGGTTTTATCGCATTCATCTCCATCATGAATAAGTATTAAAATGTCTACGCATAAATTTCAATAGAGCAATGAGCGGGAAATAAACAAAACATGGGGCACTTCTAACGGACAAGTGCAACACGCCGTCCCGATATTCTGACCCCTGATCTAGTCCATGTAGTAACATTATGCGACTCAAAATAGCCACATCGAATTTGATTGGTCAGATTTCCGGGATATGGCTAGATTGGGGGGCAGAATGTTTTGATGTTTCCGGTTCCGGTCCGCAAAAAAAAAACGGTTCTGTTTCTGTTCCGATTTTCGGTTCAATATCGTTCCGATGCGGATCTCTGCTCGCGATGTAAAAGTATACAGGGTATTCAATTTAGGAAAACTGATTTTTTTGAAGTTATAAAAATTCAGTTGTTTATTATCACTCGGCATAATGCTAAAAAAGATTTCTATTACGGATTAAAAATGTATTGGGTAAAAACAATGGTGCGTGTTAACTCCAGGCACAGAATCGAGCACAGAATATACAGCTAAACCGCAGCGGTTTAGCTATACCGGTCTGGCAAGTGAACCTCTTTTAGAGCCGTTTTACACTGCAAAGTTTCTTTACGAAATTATTCACGAAATTATTGCCGAAATATTTCGTAAGTTTACTATTCTTGGTTTCGCTTTTTCCTGTTTGACACGGCAAATAAAAGTCTAGCAAAAGTTTCGTGGAAATATTAGTCATACGCAGGCGCAGTTACGTTTTGCCATCAATTAGGCAATTCAAACCACGTGACATTCAAGATGGCGTGGCGGCCACACATGGGCCAAAAAACACAAAAAAATATCTAGTTTCTGCCCGACTTAATAGTTTAGGTACCTAGTCAACAAATATTTTATTAGATAATGAAAATCAAAGTTGTAAGCAAAACTGTATGCAAAATAATTTAAAATACGCATAAAAACATATTCAAAACAAACTTGCTTGGCCGCCACGCCACATTGAATTTTCCTTTTTGACAGATGGATTGAATTGCCTAATAAT